CTTCGTGCGCAGCTGGCCGAAGCTGGGGATGATGGAGCATCGGCCAGCAACACGGAAGTGTTCTTCGATGTCTCTGTTACGTCAGCCCAGGACAGCGCCATGGGTGGTTTGACGTCTGCGTTGAGCAGCAATGCATACTATTGGAACGGCACTTACGTCGGAGACGGCGGGCGCTCGGCCAGCCTGTATGGTGGAGTCGTCAAGGCCGTTGGCACGGGTGAGGGCTGGTTTGAGGTACGCTTGCTGAGTACGTCGCTAGTTGGCGAGGGCCTGGGTCTGTCGTTGTTGCAAAAGACGTATGATTCACAGGGCGGAACCAGCACGGCCCGACGCTTGGGCATGTTTAAGACGAGTGCCACGCCGCTTTATTCATCGCAGCTGAGCATGACAGTGGATGGCATTGAGGTGATTACGGGCAGCAGTGGCTACTCGCCGCTGACTACGTTCAGTAACAATGTGACGAGTAGCGAGTGCTTCAACTTTGCTGATCCTGTGTTTGAGTCTGCAACTGTGCGGTTTGAGGTGGACGAGAACTCTGGCATCGACGCCGTTGTTGGGGTTGTGAATGCCACTGACGCGGATAGCTCGGGCGTGGCCCCTGCTGCGTATGGCAGCCTGGCCGTGACCGGTCAATCGGGCATTGTGCGCTACGAACTGAGCGAGGCCTCAAGCTTGTTTGCCGTGGACGCTGTGAGCGGCATTGTGACGGCACTGCAGGATTTCGACTATGAGGTTGATGTCCGAGAGTATCAGGTGACGATTGTGGCCCGGGATCAGGGTGTTGTGCGCCAACGCTCGTCGAGCGTGGTGGTCAACGTTTCGATCGTCAACCTGAATGATGTGCCTCCCCGCTTTAACGCCACATCTTTCTCTTTCTCTGTGGCTGAGAACCTGCCCGCAGGCGTCTCCATCGGTACTCTCTCCGCTTGGATCGACCCGCCAGTTCCTTTACTGTTCTCAATTCCAGATCTCAATGCTTCCTTGTTTGCGTTCAACAAATCGACCGGACTTCTGTCGACGTTGATCTCACTGGATCGGGAAGCGATGGGTGATTTGAACATCACCGCTTTTGTCGAACTTCCAGGATTTTCTCATCTGAATGACACAGCCTTTGTTTCTATCACTGTGATTGATACCAATGATAACATTCCAGTCATCACCTCAAGCACCGCTTTGGAAATTCCATCAAATACTGATGTCAATACTTCCGTGTACGTGCTGACCTACGCTGATGCTGATTCCTGGCCATTTGCCGAGTCATCCCGCTCCGTCGGAACGATTCGCGCCAACCCACCCATTTCTGACAACAGCCAACCGCCCCCGGTGGTGGATACAACCACATTCGCATTCAACTCATCCTCGGGGTCCCTAATCCTCAAGAAACCACTGGACAAGACTGTTGCTGTTTCCTTCTTTTTCACTGTGACTGTGACGAACCTTGCTTCGCCGTTTTTCTCAAGTTCTGATACGGTTTTGATATCTATCGGCAGCGCAAACCTCTACGCTCCAGTGGTCACCTCTCCCTCTCGGGAGGTGCTTCTGTTTGAAGACCATGCCGTTGGAACAGAGATTGAGCTCATCTTCGCCGTGGATCAAGATTCAGGTGCAAGTGGCATCGTTCGATATGCAATTGTGGCTGGCAATGAGGACGGCTACTTTGCAGTCGATGCAGTGACCGGATCTGTCACTCTTGAAAATCCTCTTGACTATGAGCACCGGCAAGATGTCACCATCGTCGTCGAGGCGCGTGATCGAGGCGACCCCATCAGCTTGGCAACCAACGTCACCATCCACGTTCAAATCATTGATGTCAATGACAATGCGCCTATCTTCGTATTTACATCACCTTCATTCTTGTCAGAGTTGGCACCGAGCGGCCACGTTGCGGCTTTGCTTTGTGCCTATGATGCCGATAGCGAGTCAGCTGGTATTGTTGATATGACACTGACCTCTTTATCAGGCGTGTTCGGTGCGAACAAGGCTAACGCATCTTGTTGGGAAATCGTCACTGTCATGGCAACTGCTCCCCTCCTGACCGAAGCACGTGAGCTTTTGAACTTGACTTTTGTGGCTAGTGATCGTGGCTCGCCCATGCAAACGTCGACAGGTTACATGTCGATTATTCTTTTTGATGAAAACGATCACGCTCCACTGCCCAACATGTCGCAAAGTGTGCGAGTATTGGAAGATGCTGCTGTTGGCACAGCGATAACAAAGCTCAGCTTTGTTGATAGCGATTATGACTGGAATGCAGCCTTGACATACCTCCTATTGACATCAGATGTTGTTCCGTTTGAGTTGAATGCTACGTCCGGCTCTCTACTTCTTGTCGGGCAACTCGATCGGGAAACAATTGACAGCTATGAGTTGGTGGTGATGGTACAAGACCGCGCTCCGACATTTGAACCTACATACGCCGATGTTGTGCCACAGCCAACGCTTTCGACAAATTTTACCGTTCTGGTTAATATCTCTGATGTCAACGACAACCCACCAGTGTGGGTGAACGCAAGTAATATGACATTGGTCGTGCCCGAGGACCAGAGTGGTGCTTTTGCTCAGTTTCTTGCAACTGATGATGATGAGGGCATCAATGCCATGCTCAACTATAATGTTGCTGCAAGCGTAAACTGTAGTGTAATCATCTCTAGCGACGGGGTTGTCTCGCTCAATGCTTCATTGGACTATGAACAGGCCCGTACAGCGTGGTTTTTGCTCATAGCGAGCGATCGTGGCACTCCGTCACATCATGCTGAGCTTTACGTGTTTATTGAAGTGGCTGATGTCAATGATGTCAGCCCAACTGTTTCGGGCCCGGCTTCTCTCACCTTATCTGAGGCAGAAGCCATTGGAACAGTTGTTGCCTCTTATTCAGCCACAGATCCTGACACCGGGAACGGAGGCGTGGTAGACTTTTTTGTTGACACCGCCGCATCTGGAAACCGATTCAGTATCACCCTGGACGGCAACCTGAAGGTTGCCGGCTCTCTTCTCGGCTCCACGGCAATGGTTGTCGTGGTTGTCGCAAGAGATCGTGGCTCCCCTCAGCGTCAAACAAGCTTCCCCGTCTTTGTGTCCTTTGGCTCGGCAGAGGACTTCACCATGTCCTTCTCCGGAAGTGGCGCTCTCTTTGCCAACAGCCCCTCGATTCTGAACTCAACTTCAGGCTTCGAGTACCAATACTTGCAGGCGTACTCCGTTTTGCCAAGGGCCTTAGCAGGCGGCACGCTTTCTGCTAGACTCGGCTCACTGAAGGGATCCCAGGCGCTTTCTCAGACCAGGGCAGTAGCAAATCGGTTGGAGGTCGTGCTGGCCTCAACCGCACTTTTCGTGGAAGATCGGGTGGTTCGAGCATCCGCCCTTGTTCTTGATGGTTCCTTCAATCCGCGCACGCAGGGTGCAACCATTGCCTTCACGATTCAACCCGACATTCGCTTGCAGGGCCTGGGCGCTGTCGCTGTGTCAGGTTCCTGTACCGTTGCAGCCAGTACAAACTCAGGCATGTGTGGCTTTGCGTCAACGAACCTACCGGCTTCATGGTTCACTATGGCCGCACTTCGAGATGATGCTGCGGATCCAACCGTGGAAGTGTTGGTCTCTCTACATGGGAGTGCTCCGGTGTCCGTCGGCACGGTGGTCCTGACGCGTTGGGTACCACCTGTTGTGGCAGACCCCATTAATCAATTGCGCATGACCCTACCTGCTAATGACATATTCCCTGGCAACGCCTTCTCGGCGACAGTCGAGGGACATGCCGGCTTTCAACTGCAAACATTCCTCTTGCGCCTCACAGCTGGCTCGGCCATCAGCATTACTTCTGTGGAGGCACGCGATAGCGATAAATTTTCAATTGTTAACACTGCGAGCTCGGCGTCTGATTGGACTGTGTTTGGTCAGCTGAACGATGCTTCCTCGGCAAGTTCATCTCCCGTTGCCGCAGAGACGCTTTTAGACGTCACTTTTGTGGTCTCCAGCAGCGCCGCCACAAGTCAATCAGTCCGCATCGACATCGTTGTGCAGGAGATTACCAACATCAGAGGCGAGGACCTCATTACTTCTGATATTGCAGGCGAGTTTATTGATCACCGATCACGGCTTACCGGCCAGGTCTTTGCTTACGGTCAAATATTCGTTGCTCCTGACGAAGTGCGTGGGCTCCATGCCTTTGGTGATGTGGGTGAGATAACCAATATTGGCGTGTTGACGGGCGAAACCACCTCTTGGCCCTTGTATACGTATGCCATTTATCGCTCAGGTCAACGTTCGCGCGTTACGAGTGAGTTAGCATGCTTGTCTTCGCAGACAAGTGTTATGCAACCCACTTCCGGGTGCACAGCGTTGCAACTTCCCAAAACACAGAGCGTGGGCAGTCCCGAGGTGTCAATCACGGTCATGTGGGCAGCATCAAGCACCGTTGCAAGATTTCGTGTATGGGCACCGGTTCTACCTGTGCCCTTGACAGCGCTAGACCAAAATTTGCATGCTATCTCCGGCTCTGGCTGTTCAGTCTATCAAAGCCGCCATTTGGATGCCTTTGCGTCGTTTTCTGATGGTGTTGAGGCTCGCTTTGCAAACGTGATTGACTCCTTCGCGGGCGCGTTGGCCCCGGCTGACACTTCTGTTCTGGAGATTGTCAGCGGCAAAGTTCGCGGCGTGGGACCAGGCACAAGTGTTATCCGGGTTTTGCGCGATGGTCTTCTTGTGGCAGAATCAAGTGCTTTCGTTGTGAATGAGAGCAGCGTTGATATCACTCAAATTCGAGTTGCTGTTTTTACGGACTTAACCCTGACGGCTGTCCCGGACTTTGAGGTGGTGTCCGCGCCGATCAATGTGACTGCCAAGGTGGATCAGGCCTTTGACCTCGAGTATGAGGAGGGTCACGCTGTGGCACTCGCACTTTACTCTGACATGACATCAGAACTGCTGACCGTCGAGGATGGTATGGTATATTCCAGTGCAAACCTAGCGTTAGTCACAGTCACAAATGATACTGTGACTGCCATTGGAAGCGGTGTGGGACAATTTGTTTTGGGTGAGTACAAACCTTGCGGCTTAAGCTTTGATGCCTTAGCCAATGGAACAGCTACTGTTGCCATTGACATCCCTGAACCGGATTCAGTCGAAGTTGAACTTGACACTGGCAAAATTTGCCTGCCTGGTTCATCAGCGGCGCTGCTCGGCGTCGACACATCTGCTCGGGTTCATGTTGACTTGCGCTATGGCAGCGCACTCCTGTCCCGTGAGTTGGACAACCGGACGCTCTTCTCGTTGGAACCGAGCATCGGCAGAGTAGAGCGCGGTGAGGAGACCGTCATGATAATTGTGACCGATTCTACCTACGAGGGCCCGGTAACGCTTCGCGTAACATTTGAGCACCTCAATGCGTCTGGAAGCGAAACTTTCAGTGTCATACGCCTCAGTCAGGTGACTATGGCCTCGCAGCCATACCCTATATTTGCGGGCTCTAGTGCGGTGAGCAAGACAAGCTCGCTGAGATACGCAGAAACGAACGTTTTTGAGTCTCTTCGAATCAGTGTGACCGCACACTTGAGTGATGGCGCAACGCACGAGGTCGCAAGCCTGGCTGCCACCACCTTGTCCATTGTCCAAGCTAGCCAACGTGCTGTTTTGAGTGGGCGTATCCTGTCACGCGTGCTGCCTTCCAGCGCCGGTGTGGTGGTGGTGACTGCTGTTTTCAATGGAGAAGCCGCCTCGAACGACTTGACCATCACGATGTCCGATGAGCAAACCTTTGTCAATCGGATCACTGCTTCTGGCTCAATCACCACCTTTGACACTGTCACGTTCACGTCGACGCTGCGGGGCGTGCAGGATGAGGCCTCTGCGTTTGTCACACTTGGCGCGCGGTTTGACGATGGAACTTTTTATCCGACGCTATTCGGCGCGAACGGTGCCGTCAACCTGCCCGGTCTCATCACTTTCCGCAGCAGTCAGCCCACCGTGGCCTCGGCCAATTCGGTGACGGGTGAAGTGACGTTGCACGCCAATTGGCCAGAATTGGTCACTGTGACGGCCCAAGCCGTGGCAAGCGGGATCGAGGGCTCGGCGACTTTTGCGGCCAACCTAGACCCTGACACCTTTGATGTGGATTTGGGGGCTGCAACAGGCTTGCCACTGAGCGCCCGCGCCATTGGCGACACGTTTACGGTGCCGGTCCGTGTTAATGCCGGCAGCAGCACGCTAGCCTCCATCGATTTGTCTGTGTATTACGACCCCAGTCGGCTGGAGGCGGTGAGCGTGGCGCCTGGCAGTGCCTGGCCAAGCAGCGCGCAGCTGACAGCAACGCTGGACGATCCACCGGGTGTGGTCCTGTTCGGCGGAGCTTTGGATACCACGGGTCTGCAGGGCACCAAGGAGATTGCGGTGTTGACGTTTAGAGTGTTGGCAGGTGCAACGGTTGGTCAGCGCTTGGCGTTGACGGGACAGGTCACGACCATGGCAGATACAGACGGCGTCTTGATGGGCGCCGAGAACCGTGCCTTTGTGGCCGGCAGCGTTGAAATGGTGGTGGCCAGTGCTGGCCGGCGCCGTCGTGCTGATGCTGATGCTGATTCTGAAGCGGATGTGACTGAGGATGGCGCCGATGGCCTGCTGCCAGCAACCGCCACGGCTGACAGCCGTGCGGTTGTGTTGGCTCTGATAGCGAAGCATGGTGGCTTGGAGGGCCCTCAGCAAGGCGTTCGTCAACGCCGTGCAGAGTGCGCCAATGCACGTTGTACGGCGGCTGAGTGCGTATCGGTTTATGGTCAGGCACGCGAGACGGGCGATGCAGATGGCAATTGCCTCTTTGATGTTCGTGACGTGCGCTATACCCAAGACTACATTGTCTACGCTTCGCTGGGCTTTGCCACACCGGCGGGAGCTGCTTTCCGAGCTGATATGCTGAGCTCTGGGGAGCAGGAGGCCAATATGGATGCCGATTTGAACGGCGTGATTGACGGCCGTGACTCATCCTTCTTAGCGCGTGTCAACTTCCGTCAGCTCCGCTTCATCAAGGATATCTCCATCGTTCCCGTCGAGAACAGTGACAATTGTGCCTTGACACTCGCTGCTACACTCGTCGCCAAGGGTGATGTGGCCGTCGACGCGTCTCAGACATTTGTCTATTTCGATTTTGTTGCGCCAAGCCATGCGTCCGACCTGCCTTTCGATGAGGCAGATCTTGTCATTGGCACCATGGCTGCGTTTTCTGTTTCCTCTGGCAGCATTCGCAACGTACGCCCTTCAGCCTACTTGAGCAGCGTGCTGACCGACGGACACTTTGTTGTGCAAATGCGTAGCGACGTGGTACATTCCGTGGGCATCTCATTGATCATGGTCACAACCAATTCGCTGGGTGAAACCGATCAATCGCGCCAGTTTTTCTTGGACGGCTCCTCCTCTGCTCCGTTTTTATATGCAGGCGTGCTTGATGTTCTGGTTGGTCAATTCTCGGTCAGCGTGTATCGTGGCAGTGGCTACAACCCATTCGTTTTGGCAAACAATACACGTGCTTCGCACAGCTGTGTGAACGAACATCCCCCTGTGTTTACCCACAATCCATTCACTGTCTTTGTCCCAGAGAATCAAGACCCCGGCCCGATCCTCACTCTCGAGGTGACAGACGAAGATGAATTCGCCATTCCTCCGCTTTTTGCGCTTGTGGACGAAAGTATCGATTTCGCCGTGTCAGCTTCTGGGGTTGTAAGCTCGCTTCGCAGCTTCGACTACGAAGCGGACCCAACCGCTTACACACTCAATGTCACCGCGACTGACTCAACGCAGGCGGCAAGTTTTGTGGCATGGGCGTTGGTGAATGTGTACATCAACAACACAAACGATATCCCGCCGCAGTTTTTGTCCCCTGCCGTTGAGGTCAACGTCGATGAGACTTTAGCTGTCAACAGCACCGTGGTGTCCTTGCCTTACTTCGACCGTGACTCGCCCTTGAGCAACATGTCGGCCTACATTGTGACACCCTCAGTGCCATTCCGAGCCACCACGGTTGCGGGTGACGTACGGGTGATTTTGAGCGAGCCGTTGGATTACGATACGGGCAATGACCATTACGAGTTCACCGTGGCACTATCCGATGGAAACTTCGTTGCTACCTGTGAGATCATTCTTTCTGTATTGCCGGTGAACGACAACTCCCCTCTTTTTGAGCAGAGCTTCTTCCAGCTGACCGTCAACACATCGGTTCCGGTTGGCACCACCTTGGTTGTGCTAGAGGCCACCGATGGCGATGGAGATGTCGTGGCTTACCGCTTGCGCGAACCATCGCCATATTTTGTTGTCGATGCTGCATCGGGTGCATTGCGGTTGATCGCTGAGCTACCCGCGTTAGAGCCTCGCTTCGAGCTCTTTGTGATTGCTTCTGATCAGCAAACCCCGCCTTTGGAAGCCACGGCAATTGTCGAGGTCTTATTGCCTGTCGTACGCGATGTTGTCTTTTCGGCCAATCCCGCCCTATTGGTTGGCAATCCAGCGCGGCTAGCCGCGGACGTGTACGCGCAGCCAGTTGGTCGACCCGTTGGGTTGACTCCCAGCGCGAGCATGTCCGTATCAGCCTCGTTCGGATCGCTCATTGGGGAACGCATCGTGACACGCGCCGTTGCGCCGGCGAGCAGCTTCAAGGCCGTTTTGGCCACCCGCACTGCATTTGTGGCACGCTCTTCAATTATCGTTCATGCTCAACTGTACGATGAAGACTTCCAGACACTGACAGGAGGTGGTACAATCACTGTGACGTTTGTGCCTGATGGCATGCTGTCGGCAGCTGGTGCTACAAGCATCAGCAAATCCTGTGTTGTGGCCTCTGGTGCCCCCGCGGGATTTTGTACAGTGTCCTCGGGTGCCCTTCCAGTTTCCTGGTTCACCGCACCCTCTTTGTTGGCACAAAATCTTGACCCACAGGTGAATGTGCAGGCTAGTGATGGCTCGTCGATGCTTGATTTGGGCGCGGTGGTCTTGCACCGATCAATGAATGGTGCTGCAGAGGCTCTTGATATGCAGATGCGTGTGATTGTACCTCAACAAGACCTGTTTATCGGTGACAGCGTTGACATTTCTATCGAAGGGCATGCCGGTTTCCAAGTTCAGACCTTCCTGGTTCGCCTCACCGTTGCAAGTGGTTTGCGCATCCAATCGGCAGCAGCCGCTGACTCGAACAAATTTGCCCTTGTCATCACTGAGGCATCAAGCACCGACTGGACCATCTTCGGCCAACTCAAGGATGCCGCAAGTGCCTCAACTAGCATCGTTGACGCTGAGGCGCTTGTTGTCGTGGCCATGAGCGTTCATTCAAGTGCGTCGACCAATGCCACTCTGGCTCTATCCATGGATGTGTTGGAGTTGACAAATGTCAAGGGTGAAGATATTTTCCCTGAAACTGTGCCTGCACAGTTTGTAGACCGTCGCTCGCGCCTTGCAGGTGAGGTTTATGAGAGTGGGCAGGTCTTCGTAGCTGCAGACGTGATCACGGGCGTGTTCGCGTATGCTCCCTCGGCTGAAGTTTTGAACAGTGGTCCTCTAACAGGAGTGAGTGTATCGGTACCCATAACCATCCAAGTGGTTCGACTTTCTGGTGCTCGTGCCCCGGCATCGACCGGCGATGTCTTCTGCACCAGTACCTCTCCACTGACAATGGCAAACACCGATTGCGCTGACGTCACTTTGACGACCTCCTTTGATGTTGATGGAGGTGTGGCAGAAGCTCTGGTCACTGCTTCAAATGGCGTTGCAGACACAGTCCGCCTCAAAGTCTGGATGCCATCTTCAGATGTTGACATGGTGGTCTCTGATCCTTATTTGGAGCGATTGACCGACTTTGAGGACTCGGCGTGCCCGATCTTCTACCAAGATGCCGTCGTCGAGGTCTTCAGCCAGTTCTCGGCTGGCAGCTTGGACTTGGACATCAAGTATCGCGTCACAAACCTCATCAAGGACAACTTGCGCATTGCAAACCATACCGTTGCGTTGATGGATGGTACTCACGTATTTGCGCTGAACGAGGGCATCACCACGCTCAGCCTGATGCGTGACGAAATGCAGCTTGCCAATGCATCGATCACGGTGGCCACCTCAGGAATCAGGGCCACAAGTCTCGAAGGCTTTGTTGTCACCCGCTTGAGCCTCGACCTTCCAACAAGCATTTTGTCCACGCAATCTGCGACAGCTGTGGCCTCATTGGTGCAAGAGCTCTCTCTTGAAGGTGATGACGCATCGGTGCTTGCCGTGGTTGAGTTTGCCGATGGAACGCGTTTAGTGCTGCCAAATACTGCGTCTGCTGCCCAGCTCCGCGTCGTATCGATTTCTCCCTCTGTATTGCACGCAAATGGCACTCGGGTCATCGCCCGGGCGCCAGGTGTCGGCGAACTGGTCCGCGTAGAGGCCCTCTCATGCTCTGGACGCCAGGTTTCGAATGCCACAGTTTTTACAAACGTCAGCATCCCGGAGCCTGATGAGGTGCTCATCGTGAGCAATGCATCACGGGTGGCAACTGCTGGTAGTGCTGCCCGCTTCGCCGGTATCTCTGAAGCAGCGGCTGTCACAGTGGCTTTGGTTTTCAACGGCCGTACGCTGGATATGTCTGCTGATGAGCGCACCATTCTTACAGTTACCTCCGCGTCAGGAGTGACTGCAACAATAGAGCAGCTCGGCGAAAACTTGCTCGTCCGCCCTTCAGGCGCGGTTGCGGGTTACTTTTGGATCAACGTGAGTTTTGTGCACTACAACATTACGGCGGCCTTGCAACTCCGAGCCGTTGACATGACAAGTCTTGAGCTGACTGCTCGGCCGACTCCCGCGTACAGCGGCTCGTCAGCTGTTGTCATGTCAACACTGCACCCACTCGCAAATACCGGTGTCTACCAGCAAGCCGTGCTGGAAAGCACGGCGGTCTTAACAGACGGCGAGGAAGTCGATGTTTCCGGGCAAGAAGGCTTGTCGCTGGCGATCGCATCCGGTGACTCCTTGGTACAAATTGTGAACGAGGTTGTGAATGTACGTTCGGGCGTTAGCAGTGGCACTGCGCAATTCATCGCCGACTTCCATGGATTGATCACGAGCAGCGCATTTTCGCTAACGATTTCCTCGGACCAAGTTATGGTCAATGCCATTGTACCAACTGGCCAAACAGCGCCAGTCGGATCTGTCACGTTCACGTCGACGCTGCGGGGCGTGCAGGATGAGGCCTCTGCGTTTGTCACACTTGGCGCGCGGTTTGACGATGGAACTTTTTATCCGACGCTATTCGGCGCGAACGGTGCCGTCAACCTGCCCGGTCTCATCACTTTCCGCAGCAGTCAGCCCACCGTGGCCTCGGCCAATTCGGTGACGGGTGAAGTGACGTTGCACGCCAATTGGCCAGAATTGGTCACTGTGACGGCCCAAGCCGTGGCAAGCGGGATCGAGGGCTCGGCGACTTTTGCGGCCAACCTAGACCCTGACACCTTTGATGTGGATTTGGGGGCTGCAACAGGCTTGCCACTGAGCGCCCGCGCCATTGGCGACACGTTTACGGTGCCGGTCCGTGTTAATGCCGGCAGCAGCACGCTAGCCTCCATCGATTTGTCTGTGTATTACGACCCCAGTCGGCTGGAGGCGGTGAGCGTGGCGCCTGGCAGTGCCTGGCCAAGCAGCGCGCAGCTGACAGCAACGCTGGACGATCCACCGGGTGTGGTCCTGTTCGGCGGAGCTTTGGATACCACGGGTCTGCAGGGCACCAAGGAGATTGCGGTGTTGACGTTTAGAGTGTTGGCAGGTGCAACGGTTGGTCAGCGCTTGGCGTTGACGGGACAGGTCACGACCATGGCAGATACAGACGGCGTCTTGATGGGCGCCGAGAACCGTGCCTTTGTGGCCGGCAGCGTTGAAATGGTGGTGGCCAGTGCTGGCCGGCGCCGTCGTGCTGATGCTGATGCTGATTCTGAAGCGGATGTGACTGAGGATGGCGCCGATGGCCTGCTGCCAGCAACCGCCACGGCTGACAGCCGTGCGGTTGTGTTGGCTCTGATAGCGAAGCATGGTGGCTTGGAGGGCCCTCAGCAAGGCGTTCGTCAACGCCGTGCAGAGTGCGCCAATGCACGTTGTACGGCGGCTGAGTGCGTATCGGTTTATGGTCAGGCACGCGAGACGGGCGATGCAGATGGCAATTGCCTCTTTGATGTTCGTGACGTGCGCTATACCCAAGACTACATTGTCTACGCTTCGCTGGGCTTTGCCACACCGGCGGGAGCTGCTTTCCGAGCTGATATGCTGAGCTCTGGGGAGCAGGAGGCCAATATGGATGCCGATTTGAACGGCGTGATTGACGGCCGTGACTCATCCTTCTTAGCGCGTGTCAACTTCCGTCAGCTCCGCTTCATCAAGGATATCTCCATCGTTCCCGTCGAGAACAGTGACAACTGCCTCATGACTCTGGATGTCACCCTCATGGCCAAGGGTGACGTGGCCGTGGATAGCAGCCAGACAGCTTTGCATTTCATGCTGACGCATGCGGATGTCTCTAATCAAGATCTGTTTGACAACGTCGACCTCATCGAAGGTACCTCCTCCGCCGTCTCGGTCAATTCGGGCACTGTCTTGGATTTGACCTCATACTCGATTATGCGAGCCGCCAGTCGCCCCAATGGCGTTTTCCGTGTCTCCTTACGCACGGGCATGTCGCTGGATGACCTTGGTGTCTCCTTGGTCATGGTGACGACAGATGCCAATGGAGTTTCCGATGTTTCGCGCCAGTTTTTCCTGGATGGCTCCTCCTTGGCACCCTATCATCATGCAGGCCGGCTCGATATTGATGTTGGCGTGCTCCAAGCGAATGCCTATCGCAGCAACGGCTTCAATCCGTTCATCTTGTTTGATAATGCTCTGCGATCTGATTTCTGTGCGCAAGATGGCGCTGTGTTCAACTTTACGGTGTCAGAGGACGTGAGCATCGGAACTGATCTCGGACTCATTGTCCAGTATGACTCAGGCCTTGGCGTGCCGCGTAATGCTGCCGTGGAATTTTCCATTTCAGGCACTTCACCAGATGCCTTCGAGGTCAACTCGCAAAACTTTAACTTGCAGGTGGCACAGGCTTTGGATCGGGAGGCGCGCGCAAGCTATGCGCTGGTTGTGGCGATGGAGGTGCTTGAATTCTCCTTGGAAGCTCAGGTCTACATCGTTGTATCCGATGTGAATGACAATGCGCCGCAGTTTTCCATGGAGATATTTCAGTTTTCAGTCATGGAGAATGTTGCTGGTGTTGTCATTGGAACCGTGAGCGCCACAGATCCCGACGAGGGCGTTAATGCAGTCGTTGTTTACACGTCGCTCGACCCCGCGCTGTATGCTATTGATGAGATCACAGGTGAGGTGACCCTCTTGGTGCAGCTGGATCGGGAGGTGTTGCCCTACATTCTCTTTAATGTCTCGGCACGCGACAGTCCTGAGGCGAGCGCTCCCCTCGTCACGGTGGGGGCCGTAAACCTGACAGTTTTGGATGCAAACGATAATCCGCCGCGTGTCAATGCCAGTTCGCTTGAGATTTCCGTTTCGGAGAATCTGGCATCGCCCCTGGTGATTGGCCAGCTGCTGATTTCTGACGCTGACCTGGGCGTGAATGCTCAAGTGCAGCAGATCCGTGTGCTGACTTTTGCGGACTGGATCGATGTAACCCCCGAAGGTGTTGTCATTGCCTTGCAATCTTTTGATCGCGAGGCAGTGGCCCAGTACAACGTGCTGATTAATATCACCGACGCCGGGTCACCGGCGCTGTCGACGCTCGCCACCATCAAGCTCGACATCCTTGACGTCAATGACAACACACCCATTTTTGAGGCCAGCCTTTATCGGGTAGTCGTGCCATTGGGCACGGAGCCGGGCAGTATTCTCCGTGATGTGGTTGCTCGCGATGCAGATGCTGGCATTAATGCGGAGCTGCTCTACACGATTGGGGCGCAGACGCCCAATGGTTCTGTGTCCGTGCTGACGTATGGTGGACGAGCGCGTGTCGTGCTCGATCAGTTGATTGGTGACGTTGGGGATGAAATTTTGGTCACACTTGTGGCAACCGATCGAGGCATTCCTGCGCTCAGCTCAACTACAGAAGTAGTACTGAAGATCAGCGAGAACCATCGTTTTGACTTTGAGGCTGGTGCCGGCTATCGTGGAGCGTACAGTTCAACGATCAATTCGGCCCGACAAAATTTTGGCCCATTCTTCATGACCAACGCTACTGCATTCAACGTAACGCTACCGGGCATCAATGGCCTCGGCCCTGTGACAGCACAAATCAGTCGCGATTCGGCTTCATATGCCGATCTCGTGGTTCTTGACAAGGAAGTTTTTAACGACGAGCCGGACCTTGGCACTCCCCTGCGTGTGCGTGCTGCTGGCCTGGCCAAGACGACCTATCATCGCAACGCCGGTGCTGGCATCGAACTCACTTTTTGGTTGCGGTTGTCAACCAACCCGAGTTTTTCGCTGATGCTTTCTTGCACAACAGCGAGCAATGGTGTATGCTCAATCGAGTTCACCGTGCCCGACGCGTGGTTTGCGAGCGACGCTGATGTGAGTGCTTTGATCTCTGTTGCAGCTGATGGCTCGAGCTTCGGTGCTGTATCAGCTGTCACCCTGCATCCGCGCAACACTGGAGTATCTGATGTGGTGCTGCGCAACGATGCTTGGCTGTTGCTGCCAGCACGTACGGTGTACGCTGGCGAGACTTTCGTGGTCGCCTTATACGCACAAGCGACAGCGGGCGTGGCCTCATTCTCCATTACTGTGGCATTACAGAACGCGTTCCGACTAGTGAGCGTGACCAGCGCATCCGATGACTTTGTATACTTGCAAAGCGGGCGCGTAACTTGCACAGAGCCTGTCTTCTCAGACAATTCCGCATGCGAAGAAGCAATTACCTTGTCAGGCAACCGTGCATCTGGCTCCACCTCTTCCGCAGATGCCGTGCGGCTTGCGCTATTGACTGTCACGGTTCGCACTGCCCAACCTTCAGGCACAGCATCTCTTCGTGCCACCGTCAACAACCTCTTTTCTTCCGCTGACCAGTTTGTGTTTCCTTCGGATGTCGCAACCCAACAATTTCCCTACGCAGCATCGGTTGTGGATCGCGATGGTACCACATTGCGTTCTAGCAATGGCGGTGAGCTGACGATTGATGCCGATCTCCAGCAACTGGCTGGCTTGTTTGCCTACAGCGATGCTGGTGTGATGGTGAATACAGCGCAATTGAATAGCCAGGCCCTCTCATGGCCCATGGTGGTCCTGGCAGTTCGCGCCCGAAGTGGAAGCGTGATCGTCGTGGACTCAGGACTGAATTGCGCGCCAGAGGACGATGTGCTTGTGCACGTTTTGGAGAACTGCGCGCTTGTGGTGCTGGATGGCACAGAACTTGCGGGGTCAGCGACGGCCCGTGTATTTGTGGAGTCAGCCGGGGCCACCGGCACGGCTACCTTCCATGTATTTGCGGTGCAACGTGCCTCCCTATCGCTGTCCACCTCGACCCTCGGTCGTCTCGAGGGCGCCATGAACGACGCGTGCACCGAGCCTGCATATCGTACCGCGCAAATCAAGGTTGAGGCCACATTTTCGGACGCTAAGTCAGCCTTTACTGCCGACGTGACCACGTGGCTAGAGAGTTCAATCACAACATCGGATGGTAGCGTCGCAACAGTGGACGGCCAAACGCTTCAGGGCGTGGCCCCAGGGCTCACGACCGTGTTTGTTGATGGCACAACCCGCATTGCCCCCGTCAACGTGGAAGTCACCTCAACTCCAGCAGAGATCTTTGGATTTGCGCCGCTGCTGTACAATGACGCCATCTTTTACCTGTCAACTGACACGGTTACTGAGGCTGGATCTTTGTCGGCGCGCCTGTCCCTCTCCAATTTGTTGCTGAACAACGGTGACCGCTCATTCTATTTGGTTGACATCGTTTACGGCGATGGTGTGCGGCAAGCTATTGCCCTGAACGATCTTGTTGTGAAATCCTTGGATACACAGGTGGTGGTAGTAGGTAGCGATCACGTGGAGGCTGTTGGCTCAGGTTTTGGTGACTTGCTGCAGTTTGAGTGGATTGATGCCTGCTCCGGCTTACCCATCGCAGCGCAGAACTATTCCATCTCCGTGTCATTCAATGACAATGCACCCGTGTTTGAGGCTGAAAGCTATACGTACTCGCTGCCCGAACATGCGTCAACGCGCGTGTTAGGCACCTTGACTGCAACGGATGCTGATGTGGAGCGAGATGACCCAATTTACTACGGGCTGGTGTCTTTGATGGCGCCGCACCTAACGACGCCCTTGCTTGGTGTGGAGGTGACCAGTGTTTTCGTCAATGCGACCACGGGCGTCTTATCAGTTCGCTCCGGGGTGCCTGAACTTGATCGCGAGCTTTCTGAAACATGGACTGCTCTCATTGGCGCCAGCAACTACTTGACCGACTTGGAGTTGGCCGCTTCTGGTGTAAACCAGTCGGGCTTGCAGATTGGTTATGTGCAAATTGCGCTCGCCTTGACTGATATCAACGACAACGCACCGGTTATCACGAGCGTGATGGCAGCGCGTGTGGTCCCTGCCAACTTTGTTGGCGCCACCATCTTGGATGTGGATGCTACCGACGCGGATACTGGAGTCAATGGTGAGTTTTTCTTCGACTTGTCCTCCAGCACCGCTGTCAGTGAGTTTGCAACAATCGACGCTCCTTCGGGTGTGATTGCCACGACTCGCGACTTGTCGGACCTTTCCGAGGACACGGTGACGATGATGGTCACGGCCACAGACCGTGGTGCTGTGCCGCTATCAAGCTCAGCATCATTGCGCGTTGAAGTGTATCGTCGTGACCTGCTCCTAGCCATGGATGTGGCTTTGTCTGTCGAAGAAGCAATGGCACACTTGGATGAGATTGCTCGATACGTGAATGACGTGAGCAATCATGAGCTCTATCTGCCTGTACATGCTGTGTATGAGCTTGTGAGCGAATCTGAGCGCCGCCGTGATGAGACCTGGGCCACCGTGCACGTCCTAGCGGTGCGAAGCATTGAGGCTACAAATGCAGCAACAGACGAAATTTTGAAGGCAGGCCGGGCTCTTTTGGTCGACATTTACGGCAACATTCCGGCTTCAACCCTGCAGGCTGAATTATCTCCCTATGAGCAGGAGATTGGAGAGCAACTAGGCGCCTCCGTATCTTTCCGCGCTTATGCTTTGGACCCGAATGCATCATCAGGTGACCCAGGAGCAACGCTTCTGGCCATCGTTTTGCCTTTGGTGGTCATTCTGATCCTGGTCCTGTTGTTGGTGGGCTTTATTGTGCATCGTCGGTACGTACTTCTCGCGTGTTTATACTTTCCATCTTGTTGTTTGTAGATTGCAAACCTTGGTTTATAAAACCGCGAGTTTTGCCTGTCTGTCTCATGTACGCATGTGTGTTATTGCCTTGTGCCCCATCAATCCTAATAGACGCACTGCTGAGCCGGAGGAATCCTTTGCGGTCATGCTCAATCGCTTAAGTAAAGATGAGTCACAACGCGTGCTTGACCCGGATGGACCATCTGAGTTTACCTTTTCAGGTGGTGAGATTGATCCAGAGACTGGTAATGCGTTCTTTTACAAGACCACTGAGGAGTTGAAGACGGTGAACGCCCCCAAGGACGACGGGGACACCGGCTTTACTACCAAAACAACGCGCCTAATCACTGATGAGAAGCACTGGTTGATCAAGGCCGAGCCAGAACTGGTTGATCCGCTGGAGGCTTGGGACGAGGGCGACTTGCAAGAGTCGGAGTTTGGAACTGCAACGGTGGTTCTGGACGCCAACGATGTGGCCTTTGAGCGCTTTGATGATGAATTCGCGCTGGATGACTTCAACAACCCCTTGTATAGTCTGGACCAGCTTCCTCAACCCGCGTTTGCCGCCTTTGACGAAAGTGCTGCGTTGGATCACAAATCGCCCATGAGCGAGGCATCAGCCTCACCCCAACCGCAGCCCCAGGCGGTGTCCGGCATTCGTGCCGAGGACGAGGTCGAAGAAACAGCGTTTGGTATGAACTCGTACGTGGCACAGCAATGGCCACCACGGTATGACCACGATGATCCAAGCTCGGCGCGCCGCCAAGACGCCCGGGCATTGGCTGAGTTTGAGCGGTATCTCGACATTTAAACACTCGTACTGCACATTACAATTCTGACGCAGTCGAGGTGAAGGGGCGACTGGCCCACTTCAATGTGTGTCTGTGTCTGTGTGTGTCTGTGTGTGTGCCTGCAATGTGTGTCAGAACGATACTTTTGGGCTGCACTTGCTTCCGATGCCATTTGCGTGTTGGTTGTCATGCAGGGCCTTCTTTGAAGTGCCTCACGTCATTGCCATGTGTCTGTGATCTGTATTTGTCTTTGTATCTCTCTGTCCTCGTCATCACCTATTGGGAGTAGGTGGGTAGCGAGGATGGCCCAGACCCTCCGCGCGCAGTAGCTGCACGTTGATATGTTCGTGAATATGTTTAACGACACTCCATGCGGGGGTCCGGTATCATGTGCTCATTTTGTGTTGTTGTTTTTTTGTGTTGACTTTTCGATGATGTGCAGGCAAGGCATGCACCAATTCTCATGTCCTTTGTTTCGTTCATGCAGCTGTTCTCATGGCATTTCCCGGCAGTGCGTCCTGTCATTGCTTTTATGGGCCCATGTGTCTGTGTTCTCTGTTTGTGTGTTTGTGTGTTTGTCGTGCGGCGTTATGATGTGGTCGACATGTTATGCATCAGTGTGCTCCCTGTTCCGGGCCTAACCCCACATCGGGGGCCACTAAGTTTGTAATTGATCCATGGACATTGCTTGCGCTCTTCCCCTTCTGAAAGTTCTCTGTTCGGGTCAATCCGATAGCAGAGTCCCCAACACAGTATTTAGCCAAAGCAAAACCGCTGATGCTCCGCCACAAAGCTTTCGCCCGCTCATCTCTTCACAGGCAACGGTAGGAACGCCTGTGATGAAATTTGGGGTGTCGCAAACTGGAAACTCCATGCATGCATGCAGTAAAATACCAGACCACCCTTGTCCGCTGTGATTTGTCCTCGCGCCATGCTCAGCGCTTGCTCGTCGACCTCGTCCGGTTGAAAAACAAGTCGAGGCTCAACAATATGGGCCTTGCTTCGCAGAAGGATGTGTGTGTGTGCCCGCTCCAGGAGGGCTAAATCTTCGTTGTTGTGTACTTTTGCTCTTGGGTTTGGTTTTTTTTTTTTTTGTGTGTGTGTGTGTGTGTGTGTGTGCGAGTTTTTTTTATTTTTTTTTCCATGAGGAGACAAGGCGCATAGTTCGCCTGGCTCTCATGACCGAGACTGCGGTTTGTTGGTCGACATCATTCAGGTAGCACATTGGCTGAGCTGGTTACTCGTACCCCGAACCACCTCTTGCAGTACCCAATGCAGTTGAACCGGGAAAGCAGAGCAAGCTCACAAGAGGGGCGCTTGGGTAGCAGAGCCAATGAAGGGGCAAAGGGCAGGAGTAGCTGGCGATCGGCTTTGCAACCTGATTGGGAACAACAACATTCCATCCATCCAAACCTCAATCCGACCCTGCCGCCACCTATCAACCTCACGCCGCTGACACGGTGCGTTCGCAGCTCTAGCATCTGCCTTCAGGTCGGAAGCCGGCATCTGAATGCCCGCAACACTCCACGTCTGCGGGCAGAAGCTGCCAGAACCATGAACGCTGCAGACCAAGCGCCTAAGGCGCACAATCCAGGTGATAAAGTTGAAGCAAATGCCGCGCTCTAGGCTACCTATCTGCGTGAATGACAGCTTCTTGGGCTCTGTGGCTCACGCATATGCTCGGTATGACCAGGTTCTCAAAACACTCTGACACGCAAGGGTCCTCGGTGCGTGAAACGGCGCGCAAGAGTTGACGCTTAGACCTGAAGCGAATGTCATCGTGTCGAGCACCGCTAATGCAGTGCTGTGTCAGCTTCATCGCCCCCACTTTGCCTCACCAATCCATGTTTGTGCATGCCATGGCGCATAAACCGTAGTCGAAGCTCAAAGCGCCAAGCACCTTGGCATAAACGCCGCCATGCACCAGGTCTGTCGCTAGCCCTCTCGGTTTCTTGTGACCGCAGTTTTGCCTAGCGCCCCTGAGGATGCCAACGTTCTTGATCATCAAGCAGTAGCACTCTTTATTTAAAAACTGAATGTTTGCTGTGTTCAGGGCAACTCTCAGGCGCTGAAGTGGAAGCTCTCCTCTTGCAGTTTGGCCTTCAAGATGCTCAGGAACGCATAGACGTGGCCACATACCTCAGTACGACCTGAAGCACGGCCTATTGGCTTGGTGTTGACTTCCCCCTCAAAATACGCACCTCCCAGCACGTCTCGCCACATCACAAATTTGATGCACCCATACCTTGCTAGTCGACACGTATGGCCAATCCGCTGAGCAGACCATCTCTCATATTTCCCTGGCCGAGGGGCTTTTGAGCGAAGCCCAGAAACTAGCGAGCAGTAACCCAAGGTTGGCTTCTCAAATCCAGTCTCACCAGGCAAAAAAAAAGCGTCAACGCGGTGCACGTGTGACTAATCTGGCACTCACATGTCCATGCCCACCTACCATGCAGTGTTGATGAAGAGCCCGGCGTGTTGCCTTTGCGCCGGTTATCATCTCAAAAGCTGCTCCAGCTCAAGACACTCATGCAGGTGCTGATCGGTGTGCTCAAATCTCGACAAGACCGCTAGAACGGCGCCCAAGCTCACAACACTTGGTCCCCGGCCTTTTTGTTGATCAACTTGCTCGCAGCAAATGGCACCTGAAGAGCTACGGCCCAAGGTAGAGGCTGTCGAGGTGCAGGATGGTCTCGAGGTCCAAGCCGAAGTCTTTCCACTTTCAGAGTGAGTTGCAAGACAATGTCTGGGACTGCAGGACCGAGATGCTACGTCCCAGCTCTGACGCACCGCCACGTTGCCCTGTGTCATTGTCATGTAGGAATGCACATTCGGATTTGCTCTTCACCTCAGCGACAACACTGCAAGTCGATTCGAAGCAACTTCGTGACCTTCAAGATGACATACGATCTCTGCGTAGCACGAACGAAGCCCTCTCAGCAGCTCTTGAAATCAAAGTAACCTAGAATGCACTCTTGCTGGGTTATACTTTTTGATCACATGCTCTCCTCCCCGGCTACAGCCGGTCCCTGACCTACGATTGTCAACCCGCCGCCGGGGAATAGACGGCCGAGCATCGCCAGCAGATGCTCGAGCAGCAAGAAATTGCTCAGACCCATATCGATCAGTTGGAGACTGCTCATCAAGCGGACCGGTCTACGAACAAGGATTTGCAAGCTGAGCTGCGTGATTCACGTGCTCGCCTGCAAGACTCTCAAGAAGAGTTGAAACATCGCTCGATCGAATGTCAGCACCTGCGCTCCACCATCAAGGTACGTTTTCTCGTCCTCGTTCTGGCCTGGTCATTTCAAACACTTTGGTCGATGGTTTGGGTTTCCTTCTTGTTTTCCTCTCTTCTTCCCTCCGATCGAGGGCCTGTTTCATAAGATGTGATGCCATGACATAGGCTCGCGATGAAGCACACATACAAGAGGTCCAGCGGCTGACGGAGCAATTGGACAACTGCCGCCGCGAGCTTCGCCAGCATGAATTCACAATTCACACTGCTGAACGACGTGCACACGACCTTATGCAAGTCGCTCAAGACCATGAAGAGCGCTCTGAGATCCTGGCTAGGCTAGAGGCCGAGCTCAAGCAAGCTCAGCTGCGTAAGTACAACAGATGAAGCCCGTGTTGCAGCCTTGATGTGTCGTCTCCTTATCGTTTTATTTTTTTTTTTTTTTTTTTTTTTTTTTTTTTTTTTTTTTTTTTTTTTTTTTTTTTTTTTTTTTTTTTGCTGATGACGCACTGCCACCCCTCCATCAATGAGCAGAAATTGTCTCGTTGGAGCAAGATTTGGCTCGGCAAAGCAATCATGAAGCTGAGATTGACTTTCTCCGCCAAGCGAATCAAGAACTTAAGAGCATGCTACATGACCATGACATTGCCCTCGGGCCTCAGGTTGAGGCCTTGGATCGTCAAACGTCTCAAGGCTGGACCACAAGTGAGTGTTTTGGCAAAAAGTCAACTTTCATCTCTTTTCCTCGCCACACGACCTGTACAGCGTGACAAGGCTGCCTCTGCCTAGCTGATTTGCGGATTGCTTGCACCGTAGCTTTGGTCGATTCCGCCGTCCAAACCGAGCATGAGTACGCAGATACACTGTTCAAAGCCTTGGAGGTGGGTACTGGTGCTATAGCCTGCCGTTCATGTCGCAAGTCAGGTGAAGCTCACTCAGCCAACCCATTGCGTTGCGGCCTGGATTGCATCTCTTACGCGCAGGGTTTGGACGATGCAGAGAAGCAGCGCCTTGAGTTGGAACGCGTGATTGCATCGCACGTTGCTGCGTTGGCTCGTCAGAATGAAACGATTGAGGTGCAGTAGACGCACGCTCATGTCTAGCACGTGGTGGTCGAAGTTTTCTGAGCAACTTTACCATTTTGCTCTGCTTGCCACGAAATTTCCCGGTCCGTTAGGCCTTGCACAAGAATCTCAAGGCACAACAAACGAGTTACCAAGATCTGATTGATAAGAAAACGGTCAGTTTTGCATTGTTCACATTTGCTGTTCGGCGCCGATGGCTGGCTGTGACTCAGCATGGATCAGAGCCCTTGCCACCCTTTACAACCATGCTGACACCCATTTGGGGATTAACTTGTGTAGCAACAACTGCATCAGCGCAAGCTTTTGGCGGATGAGCAAGCGGCTGTTATTGACCGCCTCAAGTCACCTGTTCTGGACATGACAAATACCGTGCAACTGGTCCTCGCTAAGAAAGAGAAACTTTCACGGTCGCTTTTTGAGGTCGGTGTTGCTGTCTCTTTGGCAGCCAATCAAGTGATCTTGGACTGAGCTTGCAATAACATGCCGATGACTGTGAATCAGGCGCGCCAGCAAGTGGCAAAGGGAGAAGATGCTCTGGAAGTGGCTCATGGAAAAGCAGCGCTGCTGGAGCAACAATTGCGTCGTCTTGAAGCTGAGCATTTGGCTTTACGTCAGCTAATGCAAGAGCTTCGAAAGAAGCAGCAAGGTTCGGCTTCCGATGAGCGCCGAGCAGGATCCAAGCGTGAATCTAAGCATTCAGCTGGCACGCCCAGCTGCCATGATGAAGAAGCATCGCCAATCTTGGGCCATAGGTCAGTACTGTCTCAGGAGTAACCATTACGGCGGCAGTGCCCATGTGTTTGAGCACAGCGTATCCACCAGACAGGCCCACACGCAAACTCATATGACTGCTCTGCTGCTTCGACTACCAATGTCAATCCCCAGTTCTTCAGAGGCCCAGCAACGAGAATTGCGAGAGGCCCAGCGTGCTGCCAAACAGCGCCGCCAACAACTTACACAGATTGACGTCATTGTCAAGCAATTTGGCAAGAGCCCGCATGACGCTTCTCTCAAAGGGCGTGCGCTTTTACTCGATATGAGCTTATTACATTTACCGTGTGCGCGTGTAGTGAGACTCAAAGCCGAAAGCTGTCGTGTGGCATTTGAACCCTTGACCCCTTCCATCAAGGAAGACTTTGTTGGGCTCATTCAACAGGTAGGCAAGCTGTGCTCTACGTGTCATCGTCTGTCATATTTTAACGACCGTTGCGCATCACGGGCGAGTCCCTTCTCATTGCACACTGGCACCTGTCTCTTGCAGCGCCTTCGCCAGTGTGATGGCATTTGGCAGGTGCGAGACGAGCAAGCCCGTGCAAGCGTGGAACAAACTGAGGTCAGCATTCAACCAATATTCAAGTTTCTTTGCTCAGTGGCGTTCCTTGCAACCCAATATTTGTTGCCTCGTCACCTGCACTCACCACGAAGGGGTCTCGTTCACAGATACGAGTACGCTCGGCAGAGCAGCTGGCACAGCAAAGGCAAGAACAAATCAACAGGATGCAGGTTTGTTTGTGCAACTCGAATTTAATATCTACTTTCCTCGTTTGCATCGCTTTCAAATACCATGTCCCACCCGACATCACGATCGTTTTTGTTTTTGTTTTTTTTTTGGTGTGGTGGGGGGCGGATTGTGCAGACGGTTATCGAACAGCAAAACCAAAAAATGACACGATCGCGACATCTGCTACATGACTTGATGGGGGTTGGTCATCGGGAGCTTGAGGTGAACGATGCAGATCTGTTACACCCGATGTCACCGACAACAACGCTTCAATCGGGCCAGGCCACGTCTTCTCGCCTCTCTCCACGCCCGAACAGCTACGTCAAGGCCACTGGTGGCTCAGCACTTCTTGAGTCGATGACGGACGCTGTGGACAAGGTGGCGCCGACCCCCATAGCAGCCATCGCCCGAGGTATGCTGTCAAACAACCCAAAATACCATGACACTTTGCACCGCCTTGCACCATGCTCGTGTGAGGCTTTTGTCGTGGGTTTAAAATTTCTCACCGCAGCACTGGTTGCCTATGACAACTCAGGTGTATCAAAACTTCACATTGGCAGCGATCACACCACACCTGGCCGTGTTGTATCAGCGCCACTGCCCCCGTCACAGGGGTCAGCTTGGCTTGCGGTCGAGGTCACGGGCCAATCTACTCCCCGGCAACATCCTGCTGGTCCAGATAACCTGAACGGCTTGGACAGTTCCTTGGCGTACACGTCGAGCTTGGGCGACCAAACTCACGTGTACGAAGTTGTAGATCAAACACTCGAAGACTCACAGCTGAGCGTGCCTGGGTCGCCGCGTGCCACTCGATCCCGTTCACAAACCCCCGAGCCAGCGGCACGCAAGGTCTCGTCGGCTTTGACCGCAGAGATCCGCAGTGCACTTGGCATCCGCAAGCATGGTTCTGTACCAGTGTTGCAACGACCCAGTCTTGGGCCGCTGGCGACGGAGGACACTCCAGCAGATGATAATGAAGAATGTGAACTCTCGACTTGTCTCGGCACTGACAGCAACCAGTCTCTCCGGGTTCGAGCCTTGACGGCACGTGTACCGTCACGCGCGCGCGAACTGCTGCAAGAGCGCATGAGAAGCAAGCAAGTGCCTTCCACGCCTGACCAGCAAGTGGCCGAACCTGCATCCTTTGGGCCAGCGTCAGAGCCGATGTCAAGCTCAATTAGTGGTCAACTAAACATGGGTCACGAGTCCTTGTTTCGGGGAGTGAGCAGTCATAGTCGCCGCTCACCCCCGGCCCGTGGGCATGTGTTGAGCTCTGTCTCGACGCTGGCCGAGCAGTGGCTGAACCGGTCAGGCTCGCGCGAAGCCTCACCCACCTCTTCCCGCCGCTGCTCGCCCAGCTTGGCCGCCAGCGTGGACGATGAACGTCGCGATTCGTGCAACTCCCACGCCTCTGGTGTAAGCGTTAGGTCGGTTATTAAACCCAGCTCGGGTTTGGTGCGCGGTCGTCGGGCGGGTAGCTCCCGACGCAAGCCGAGTCGGCGCAGTGTGCGCAAGCTTGCCCAGCCTCGAGGCGCACCTGACGAACATGTCGAATCGGACGAGGAGGAATTTGACGCCGTTGAAGACCTTGTTGGCCCACCAACGACCATCGCTTGCCGGAAGACGTCCACGCAATCAGAGCCAACTGTGAGCTCAGTTCGAGTCGGTCCAAGTGCGCAGCCGCTGCCCGTGCGTCAGATGCGCATGTCCACTGGCACGGTCACGACAAACCGACAGCGCCTTCAGGAACTCCTAAGTGCCATGACATCAAGCCGGCATCAGACCAAGCTGTGATGCACTCGTCACTTATATTGGGATATCTTTCTTGCGTGCACTAGCCGGCGTTTATGATGCGGCTGTTGTTTGAGTAATCTTGACATGATAATCGTGATTGAACTTCAGAACCAAGCTGTTCCGTGGCTCGCAGGTTCACATCCCCAACGGCAGATATAATGCCATCCATCTTGATGGACAAGCTGCTTTTGACAGGCATACATTCTAGCAGTAGGGTGGGCAGCTACTCATTCTTCAGAGCAGGGCCTGCTCACACAACGCTTGCGATATTTTTTGCAGAATATTCACTTAATTTCCGGCTAATTTCCGCTTATTTTTTGTGCAGGTCACAATGTCATTTCCAAATTCCAGTCTCACCAGTTTTGATGCAATGAGAGGGGGCAGGGAGTGTGATCAGCTAATTGTATGGGTCAAGTCCGTAGTTGGAACGAGTAGCGGGAGATGAAAGGGTCAGACGACTGCCAGCGTCTGGTTTTTCTGTAGAATGGTTTGAAAAAAAAAAGAGAGGCTCGATTTGTTTTTAACATGTAAATGAATATCATGCTTTGAGGAAGTTGGCACAACGTCGTCCTTGCCGCTGACGACCACAAGCCCAATTACGGGGATGTGGTGACCCGCAGCAAGGCAGCCGATGCCAACACTGGAGCATTCCAAACTCGTTTGTGATCCGCTTCAACGATTCTGCCAATATCAAATGCCCCCCCCCCCCACACACACACGGCTGCGACGGTGAGCTAGCCATGACCACATACGCAGGGCTTTGGGCTGAAAGTATGTAAGGGCTGTTTTCAGCTTTGCAATTTTGTCGTCAAAAGGTGTCGTAGTCCTCCAGAACAGGTATGTTTTACTGGACAACGACCAAAGGTCAGACGCGTTGGCCATTACGCTGTATTATGCGGGAGCGGGTATCAAAGCGTGGGCGTGCAAGGAGAGGGCAGTGAGTCCCTTGTAGGGGCCTTCAATTTATTGACGACGTGTTGATCGGGCGTGAAAGCCAAAGTGTTTATGACGCAATTCGAAGTGTCCAGAGAAGTCGCGGACAAGGAGTGCAAACGTTTGAAGTTGAACGTAGATGACCTGCTCATCTGCTCACATGTAGCCTGTTCATAGTGACCCTAAACACCACACCGCGCCTTATGGAGAGTCTGCGCACGACCGAGGAAAGCAAAGGAGTCGCACTTTGGCTTCTGGTGGTGAATTAGAGGGTCTGGTACCAAAAAGACAAAACAAAATACACAGCTCTTTGCCAAAGCCACACCTGCACATACGGAGGGAAAGAAAAAAGGAAAAGGGGCGGCAGAATTCATTTCTATTGCGTTTTTATGCCACAACAAGGCTGTCTACTCATCATTGCCGTCGTCCGCATCTTCAGGAGCTGGCTGGCTTGGAACAAAAAAGTTCATGGGCATGGCATTGGGCATGCTTGAACCAGGCATGCTCGGAACTAGACCAGGCACCGCGGCAGCACTGGTATTTGACGTTCTAGAGAGAGAGAGAGAGAGAGAGAGAGAGAGAGAGAGAGAGAGAGAGAGAGAGAGAGAGAGAGAGAGAGAGAGAGAGAGAGAGAGAGAGAGAGAGAGAGAGAGAGAGAGAGAGAGAGAGAAAAGGAGAAGAGAGAGGAGAGAAGGCGGGCGAGTGTGAGTGTAAATGGGAGCGTTCTAATTGTGAAGGGGATCTGGTATCTCACACCAATTTGGCAGAGTTGCATAGGAGACAAGCTAGCATTGCTTACTTGGTGGTCATGCCTGGCGTGGCAGAGTACTGGCGTCGTCTCGGCTTGCGGGATGAGCGAACGGGGACACTGCCCTGAGAGGAGGCGAGCATGGCTGCTTGCATGGGATCAAACATGGCCTCAGCGGGCGTGGCACTCGCCGGTGCTGACTGTGCATGCACTGGCATCGGATTGCCGCTTCCGTTAGCGACCTTATTTTCACCTCCAACCTCTGAGGCAGTATCAACTGCAGGTACATTGGTGCTTGCAAACACAGGCGGGGGCGCGAGCTTTTTGGCACGCTCCGCCAGCACCTTTTTCTTCTCCTCTTCATCGATGGGCAGCCACGCCTTGTGCTCTTCATCGTAGTATAGCGTCTCCTCGTCCTCCAGCTTGGCCACGGGCACCTTGGGCTTGGAGGAAAATCCAAACCACGAAAGCACCCCTCCACTGCTGCTTGCTTTCGGAGCTGACGGCGGCTTTTTCTCCTCTTCTTTATCCTCGTCCTCTTCGTCATTCTTCGGCTGATTGGTCCTCGCCGTTGGCTCAGGCTGTTATTCCCGACGCAGACACAGTGTGAAAAAACAAAAAAACCAAAACAAAAAACTCAAACAAAACAAAACCAAAAACAAAAAAAGGGTCGCGACGCAATGCATCTTCAACTCAACGCGCATTCAGTACATTTGCCTGTACATACTAAGGAAGGGCTTTGTTGGTCCGGCACAGCCATTGGTGCGTCCCTATCAGAGTCCAAAAAGCATTTGTCACGACACTCAACACCAAAAGCGTCCCCAGCACCTCGGGTTGCACGGGACACAAGACGCAACGTACTGTTCCGAAGCAGCAGTCGTCGTGCTTTCACCAAAGCCTGGAGGAGTCCATCCACTTCCGCTCACGGGCGCCGAAACTAAGCTAGATTCTTGGGGGGAAGCAGCCCGCGGCGCCACAGCGTCAACATTCTCACTATTCCCACTGCGCTCTTGATTGGTACTAGGTTGGTTCTGAGTGGCGGTTTCCTCGTTGACCTGGTAGATGGGCGCGGCCTGGGCTAGATCCTGGGCCTGTTGCTGTTCTAGCAGCTGCTGCTGGTAGAGCTGTTGTTGATGTTCATACTCAGCTTGCTGTCGGTAATACTCCTCCCATTGCCGCCGCAATTCCTCGTCCATGTCTGCTTCCTGCTGCACAACGCCAGCATCAGCAGCGTCCGCGCCCGTATCAACGGCAGGGCCTGCTGACAGTTCGGCCGTGCTGGGTGCTACCTCGGCAACAGCAGTCTGCTCTGGTGCCAGAGTTGCGGGTGCATCAATCGGTGGGTCGGACTCAGGCATGTAGTGACCGGTCACGGGCTCATTGTCCTCAGCAGGCGTCGGAATGAAAAAGGGGTCAATGGTTCCCAAAGAGCTTTCTGGACCAGCTTGGTACATCATGGGCACTTCGGCCATGGGTGCTTCATCCATGTCTTCTTCGCCTGGGTTCAAAACTGAATCAACATGGTCTTCTGGCACATGAGGCTCAGCCACTTGTGCGGTTTGTGCCTCAGGGCTTGGTGTAAAAACGCTACTCTCTACCGTGCCCGATGCACCCATTGAGACGACGGGCGCCTGTTCCAGCTGTTCCAAAAGTTGTTGGATCTGAGGAGAAGCAGATGCAGGAAATACGGAATGAGGGTTCTTTTGGGGTTTAACGCAGTAGCCAGGATGCACTAAGCGCGCTTTATCCTACCGATTGAGACCAAAAGTCTGGCATGCTGGTAGCTGCAGCCAGCTTCGGGTCATGTCCCATGAGGCTTACAACGCGAGAAAGGACCGCGCGCAGCAAAGCAGGCGTCGCGCGCAGCGCGCGCAGAGTGGCAATGTCCTGCTCTTGGACAAAAGCCGCTAACGCATCGCAGTACTGAAGACCAAGCTCAAGCTCACCCAACTCAATCCAGAGATCTGCCATGAGAAGATATGCACTCAGCATGCCCGGCAGCTGGGCTCGTGGGCCGTGACAGCGAACACGAACAAAATTGTAAGCCTCCATCAGTTGTAGTTGCTGCAGCAGAGGCACAGCCTCGCGGTGCGAACGGCCCAAAAGAGAGAATTGGCGATCTGACATCGGACGCAGATCCAATGCAGGCGTCCGGCCGAGCAAAAGCTGGCACACGTGAGCCCCCGACACCTCGGTCTGCTCCAAGAGCGATGCTGCCAAATGTGCAACCACCTGCGGTGCGCCCCTGAGACACAAGAAATCAGGTAAGCGCCTATTTGTCAGTTCAAAGGCTTGGGCAACAGAAAGAGAAAGCGAAAGAGAGAGGGAGAGAGAAAAAGCAAGCGAAAGATACACTTGCACGCACATTTTGTTGTTGTTCAAGAGGGTGGCCAGGGTTAGGCGCCAGCCGGTCACATCGTCGTACAGGGGTGGTGCAGCAGGCGGGGCAGCTGGTACCCGGCCCACCAGCATGGCATATAGCACATGCATGACGTTACCCGGCTGAAACATCGCATCTGTCATCCTACAAGGTTGAAGTAGTGGCATTGGTTGGTGAGGCAAGTTGAATGCTTGTCAAAAACAGAGCGAAAATAGCCATTGGCATGTGTCGATGCCAGTCGCGCGCAAACACATGCGGGAGGAACAACACGTACTGCAAAACAACACGTCGATAGACGGCTGGTCCTTTGTCATGTGCCAGCATCAGTGCGTGCGGCCAGAGGTGATGCTGTACACAATGGTCAAGGGCATCATCGTGGCGGCCCCGCGCTAAGAGTTCTGTGACTGTCGCGACATTGGTTGGGTGGCTCGCAGCTGTCGAGGTCGTGGTAGACTGCAGTTCTTGATTTTGAACAGGCCCATGTGCCGTCAACAGCTCCGCAGCCAAGTGGTCAAGGAAAGCAGGCTCAAGTTCAAGGCTCGCCTGGTTCTCACACGACGAAATGGGTATGTAGTTGTGTTGCGTTGCAATCGCAAGTAGGGACCAGAGGTCGGCAAGAGCAGGGTTGGCCTCAGCTTGGCGACGGGCCAGATCAACAGCACGCTGACGCGAGAGTGCATAGGTCAGAGGTGCAGCCACTTCCCGCGCAGACTCAGCGACCGCGTCCAGCTCGACCAGGTCGGCCAAGCGATACAGCTCCACCCGTCCCGGGCGTGCCAGTTCGGCATCAAATTCATACACGTCTATATCAGCTACTGCAGGAGCATCGCTGAACGAAGGGTTCGGGGTGGAGTCCCGTGACATTGCCGGCTCGGCCGGTGCTAGTGGTGTGGAGGAACGCACGGGGGTGTGCGAAGGCTCAAGATCAAGCACAATGTCCACATTGAGCTCGTTGCCAGCTGCCCGAAGCGCATCCCGAACCAGGTGCGCGACTACTCGGTCTAAAGGATCAGTGCTAGGAGGCGTTGCCACATCGTGATGCTCTGAGTCGTCGTCGTCACTACTTGTTGACTGCTTTTCACCAATAAGGGTGGGTGCAGTCTCGCCGCCAACCTCTTCCATCACATCTTCTTTGGGGACAGACACCGTGCAGGTGCGCGATGACGGAAACATGGTAAGAAGTAGGCCTGTGGCGGTGAAGGAGATGAGAGGGAAGGCGGGACGGGGCGGTGGCATCTCTGGAGCAACGCTACTGGCAACGTCACTGGCATCCTCAGGCCTGAGTGAACTGGCGCTGACGGCATAACCTCCGTCAAGAGCCATTTGTGAGGAGGTAAGGCTGGCAGTTTGGTCGTCATTGAGAGCTGCAGCAATTTCGGCGTCATCGACCTCGGGCATGAGCAGTGTGCCCCATCGGTCGTCCTCTGGAAAAATGTTTTGATTTTCGTACCACTGCTTGTTGATATCATCCGTCATATCCGGCAAGCCGCCAATGTATCGGCCTGGTGGGCCCTCAGGTGCAGCGCCAAGGGTAGCTGGTGGCGCCTTGTTTCCGCGGCCCGACCCCAAGCCAGGGCTTGGACCGCCTGCAAAGGAGACATTGGGTTGCCACCGCGAAACATCGCCAAACATGGATGCACTAGGATAGTTGAGGGAGCAGCACAGCGAGAGTGAGAAGAGTGAGTCGGGGAAAAGAGAGACTGGGTTTGCGAAACACACCTGCGCATAGAGAGCATGTCGTCAAGTTCCACGAGCTCGCCAGTTTCCACCGAGACAAACTCGACAGGTCGAACAGAAGCTATGAAGAGGGCGCACTGGTGGCACATGTACATTGGATTTCCACCATTGAGACCACGCAGCATTTGATCTGGACTTTGTAACGTGGCCTTTTTGTCCGAACCGACGCTGCTACAATTGGGCATTTGGCAATGGCTTGGTACAGCGGCAAGGGCACTACCACATTCTGCACAAAAGCGCGCCTGTTTGCTGTTTTGATGTTGGCACCGCGAGCAGGTCACGCGGGCTTCCTCATCAACTTGTCGCTGGCGCATCGCTGCTGCTTCACGCTCTTCCTTCTCCTGTTGCAACCGCTCGGCCTCAATGCGTTTGCGATCAGCCTCTGCTCGGCGCTCAGCATCGATACGCTCGCGCTCTAAGCGCAGCTCATTGAGCCGTTGCATGGCCATCTCCTCCTCCTCCAATCGCCTGCGACGGCGCTCTTCAGCAGCTCGCTCTTCTTCCCGCAATGCCTCTTCCTTGAGTTGCCGCAACCGCGCCTCAGCTTCGCGTAAATCAGCTTCACGACGCTCACGTTCCTGGCGAGCGCTCGCAGTCTCCTCCTCGGGAGGCGGCGAGTCGGGTGGTGTTTCGACTTCCACCCAACATGAAGGTGCTTGCCATTGGCGCTTCCTCGTAATCTACAGAAGACAGAAAAAAGGCCGATAAATGTGGTGAGAATAGCGATGGAGGCGGCATGCATCCCCTATAAAGCAGCAGGGCTCAGAACACTCAGGATAGCAGCAGTTCGCACATCATTGTAAAAGTACAGTCGCCCCTTGGAAGACTTGAGCTTGCGCCAGTTGACTGGGTCATCCTCCTATGAGATGACAAACAAGTGAATGGGGGACCGTGCGTTGAGTTATGGACGACGGTATCCTTTGCGCTAGCCGCTTGATACAACAGCAATCGACACGCGTCCTGAAGTGCTACGGAACCAACCGGATCAGGAGGTAATTCCTCTTCAGACTCATCATGGCGGGTCTCCGATGTTGTTTGAATGGCAGTGGGGGGAGGAGCCGGGTTTGCGGCCTTGGGGGTCATTTCGTTTGTGGTATTGGCAGCGACAGAGGCGGAGGGATCGTTTGTGGTGGTCGGTGGTGGAAGAGGGGCGGCAGTATCGACCTCGCGTTCATCGCCATGTCTTGCAATGACTTCAAAGCCATAGGCGCCAGGGCTGTCCCGGCCTGATCCCGGAAGGGAATGCCGAGGCGTTTCCTCTTCTTGATCAGGTATGTCCAAGCCCAGGCCCTCCATGTGAGTTGCCTCGGGATCAATGTCTGCCACGTCGGAGACTTGATCAAGCGGACTGGTGTCATGCTCGCTGTCATTCCAATCCCCGATGGGATGAGAAGTCATGCCGGTGGTGTCAAGGAGAACCTGGGGCCCTCGGGTTTTGGTTGGGGTCTCAATGGAGCTGGTGAGCCCCGACAGTTCATCCGGCTGAACAGCCTCCTTGTTACTTGCCTCAGCACCAAAGTTGAAGGAGGCACCATCAACCCAGTGTGGGGTAGTGGCCGAGCCCGACGTTGCGGGAACATCATGATCAGTCACATCTGCGTGCTCTTGTGCGAAAAATGATGAGGCATTGGTTACTGCCTCATGAGGTGCAGCTGCTTCTTCAAAGTGCAATCCACTCTGCACTTCGGGCTGCTGTTGAGGAAGATGGGCATCGTGACTTGAAGTTGCAACCGCTGGTTCGGTCTCCCAGGGCATCTGGACTCCACCAGCATCAGGGTAGGATGCCGTGGGGTCATGTTCAACCACCTCTCCAGCCCGGTGGGAGGCGTTGCCGAAGAGTGTGCTGGCACTGGGGGTTGCCGTTTGCACACTACTTTGTTCATTGGCAAAGAGTTGGGCTGCAAGAGTCGAGCGGAGCAGGCATGTAAGCATTGAACGAGGAGAGGCGGGCAGATTGTGACACTCACAGTAAGAGCCAGTAGAATAAAACTAGCGGGCGAAAGAATAGGGACAAGAAGAAGTGGAGTACACACGATGGACGAAGGCACACAGTGACAAGGAGAAGGGAAGCAATCGGGGCAAACAGCAGCACACAAAAAAAATGCAAGGAATACCTGCACTATTTGCTTGTGGTGAGTTATCGGGAGCAGTCGTGCGGCCGGCGGCGTCAAAGAAGGAGGCTGCCGAGCCAGCGGCATTGGCAGGTTGATTCCAGGCGCCAGCAAAGGGCATTTCGCTGTCAAAAGATTGGGTTGCGGAAAAAGATGGGCTCGTCAGAGGTGGTTCCGTGGGTGTCGGAGCCGCTGTCGACGAGTTGGGAAGTGCCGAGTCGCCGGGCCATGAGGAGGCAGGGTCATTGAAAAAGTGGGCAGCCGAGTCCTGCTGAGCAGAGTTGGACTGCTGAGCATGAGGAGAGCCAGACCATTGTTGCTCAGGGTTCACGTCTTGTGCCACTGATGTTTGGTGATGCTCCTGTTGTTGCGGGTGCTCCTGGTGCTGCTCCTGTTGTTGGTGTTGCTGCTGTTGCTGGTTATAGATGGCCATGGCCTCGTTGTACCATTGCCGATAGCGCTCAGGGTCATTGTGAAAATACCAATTTTGCTCTTCTTGAGTCCAACCATGGGTGCGAGATTCGGCGCCAGATGAGGTAGCATCGTAAGTCCCCGTGGTCGTCATCATGCTGGAGCTGGATGCGGGTGGATCGGCTTGGGCTTCCCATCCAACTTGGTTGGGGGCATTGGAAGGCGTCGCAACATGCGTGGCTCCATGCGCGGAGGAAGGCCATTCAGCTGGCGAGCTTGCACTGTTCATTGGCTGAGCGACAGGTTGGGTTTCAAACCCTGGCTGAGCGACAGGTTGGGTTTCAAACCCAGGCTGTTGTTGTTGTAAGAATCGTCCGTTTCCTTGGGGCGGTGGGGTTTGTGCATAAGCGTGGCGGCGGCCACCGGTCTTTCGCCTGGCGCCTGTCAGCTACAAGAGTGGCGGGGCACGAGTCATATCCTGTGAGGTGTGTCAGCTGTATGATTCCAAGGTGCGATATGCCTTGCACCCTTGACTCGTTGCTTGGCGCGTGGAGATGGGAGATTCATTTCCAAGTCGGGCCAAACAAAGCAATGGAAGGAGAGATGTGGACGATTGACTCACAGGTGGATCACCGTAGCCACCCTTTCCACCTGGGCACGTTTGACAACAGCGCATCCAGGCCGATCGTGAGGGAGAAGCTTTGTAAGATTGTCAAGCGGGAAGCGGTACGCGAGGCGGGGTGGGCATCCCAGTCCAGCGGCCAAACGCGCTCGGGGGAAACAGGGTACTTGCTTACCGAAGGAGGCCATGGTGGCAGTGGGCAGCGAAGAAGGCGATGCTGGTCACGAAGAGCAGCCGAGCGCTGGGCTGGGACCAGGGGCGCGCTCACGCGGTGGTCTCGGCAGGTGACGGCATGAGCCTTTGCTGTGTGTGCCAGCGCGGGTACGTTTGTTTGAAGCGCTTCGGTCAGGAAGTGACGAGAAGGGCCGACAAAACTTGCAGGGAGCAGACATGCCCCCAAACTCGGCGAGCAAAGCAAAGCAAATCAAACGCACCACTACCACTTGCCGACCGGGGGTGGCGCAGTCAGTTTCCAAGAGGCCTCTCTTGGAAAGGTGATCGTCGCGTACCACTGGCCTCCTCTGAAAGTCGTACGTGGCATCAATCAGTGCACCCAACAGCCGTGAGCATATGTTCACCACTTGACGCTTCCCACCTTCTCCCCTGCCACTCTACCATCCAGCCCCGATCAGCCCAGAGGCACAGCCCAGAGGCACAGCCCAGAGGCACAGCCAACAGCTTCTCACCGCAGAGGTGCACAACTCCAAAATCGGCACAGAGAGAGAGAGAGAGAGAGAGAGAGAGAGAGAGAGAGAGAGAGAGAGAGAAGAGAGAGAGAGAGAGAGCGAGAGAGACGAGAATACAGTTCTACTTTACTGTTCTATTTTTCTGTTCTATTTTTTATTGTAAGCCATTGCCTTAGGACCAAACTTTCCTTTCTTTCCCTCTTCTCCTTTCCTGTTTTGCATTGATACTGTGGTGCGCTTTGGTGATGCCGCGGTGCTGCATCCATGGCCATTCCAATCCTGAGCTGCCCGTTGACCGACCAATGGTCCTGTGCCTTGAATTGGTTAGAAGAGAGGAGAGAAAGAGAGAGAGACGAGAGTAGAGACGAGAGTAGAGAGTCAAGAGGCGAAGAGAGAGAGAGAGAAGAGAGAGAGAGAGAGAGAGAGAGACTTCTTCATTTAGTAGTACCATCTGCTACCAAGCGTCAACATCAATCAATTTAGCTGACAAATACAAAGTGTATTACTTTTTACTCTATCTCTTACGCTACGAAAAAGAGAGAGAGAGAGAGAGAGAGAGAGAGATGGCTGCGGCGGGTTCGACGTCGTCGTCGGGTGCTGAAGGGGCGGATGCGGTGGAGCAATCGGATGGACGCGATCGGACCTTGTCCTTGCCAAGTCTCAAGGCGGCGTTGCTGCGGGACATGTCAGCTTTGCGCAGTACCAGCACCGCTGCAGGCTCTTCAGGTATACCGATCGACGGAGCTGCTCGCGTGAACACTCATTATGTGGGGCGGGGGGGGGGGGGCTCCTTTTGAGCCTCTTTTGAGCCTGGCTGTTCACGATCTACGGTCTGTGCCTGGTGATAGGCAACTACCAGCCACCTTCAGCACGCGAAGCAGCCTTTTGCAACCTTTTCCAGGAGCATTTTGTTGCCCAAGATCATGGTGATGATCTTCTGTTCTATGTTCCCAATCGGCGCGAACGCGGTACGCCCCCGAAGCACGGCGTACACGCCCGGCTCTTCGCTGAAAGGAGGAAGCCCCGAGTCTCCTGCAATCGTCAAGATCCTTCATGTTGACTGGTTCATGTGGTCCTCACAATCCTTGCCGGTCGGCCCTGATAGAACGACGTCGCTCGCGTAGCAACTCGGGTCGCCAAGATGGGCTCCGGCAAAGTGATCGCTTGCACGTCTATCGAAAAGGGGCAGCTACTCGCCCTTTGCCCGTGGTCGGTTTCCGTGCTGGGCGTCTTCTTGCATTCCACTCCAGCAGCCATGCTACGCGTCTCCATGCCGTGCGTCGTGTCCCAATCTCACCACAAAGAGCTTCCTTGCTCTACCAGGCCTACGATCGTGGCATCTCTTGGGAAGAAACCCTCTGCCTGAACGCCATCATGCAACATGTCGAGTACACCCTAACCGTGGCGCTGTGCGAGACGAGCGCCGCGGGTTTGCTCAAGGTGCGTGCTTTGAAGCCATGGCAATCCCGCACTCCAGTCAGCCTACCCAAGCTCGCCTGCTCAACGCCGGCCCTCACAACCTTTTCTCTTTTAGCCCGTCAAATTTGAGCAGCGTCGTCTATATGCGTCGCCTAGTTATCACAGCATGGACAGCAAGGCAAGGCAGCTGCTCAATCCGCCTACCATGCAGCTCCCTTCCTGCGCAGGCGCCACTTGAACCTAACTCTATCCCGCACGTCCAACTCGTGACTGCCCATTCCCTATACCTCGACCTCATGCCACAGAGTGCGGGGGATGTGTTTACATATCCGGACCTTTTCTTCACTATTGATGACTTTGACGGTATTTTCGACCAGTTTGAAGTGTCGCCCCAACAAACTTTTACCCTTGAACTCTGCGGTACCCTCGGCCCGGTTAGCTGCTGTCTGCACTCCTGCGAAAGGCGAACAGCCCAAGTCCCATCCTGCGTCATCTCATTCCTGGTTGACCATCGCTTGAACTGCTTGACTTCCTTGACTTGACTTCAGCGCCAGACCATTCTCATCAATGGAAGCATTCCTCATCACAATGAGAGTGGTGGCCTGGTCTCTGAGTTTGTAACGCATCAAGGTATTTGAGACACCTTTTGCACCAGCTTGGCGCCTCGCCGCTGGGCGCTTGGCTCATCTTTTCGGGTCTGGGACACCCGTGTCCTTCTTCTCATGGCAGGTCACAAAAACACTCGTGAAACGTCCTGGCTACACTCGGCCCACCAAAATCTCGTCTTTTTTCGGATCAACGCCCCGGAAGCCGTATGTTTCCTCTGCTCTCCTTCCTGCCCTTTCAGATCCTCATTCTCACGTCGAGTCACTGTCTCTTTTGTCGCCTCCCATTCTGTATGGACAATGCACGCTGCTTCGGTGCTGGATAGTCCACGGGATTTGTGGAAATGGCATTGGCTCCATCGGCAAGCTCGGATGCAACACCCAAAGGTCGCGCCGCTGCACCCTCTCCTTGGGCTGGCCGAGCCTGGGGTGCATATAAGCAGCTCTTGGGTCTGGTGAAAAATAGCGGCGGTGGCCCACAAGATCCGGCTGCCGCCAAGCGCCTGAGCTTTCAAGCGTTTGTCACCTACATCAGCTTGCCGTGGCACCACGTGATTGACGCTTTGACCCAAGCCAAGCCACTCGAACCCAAGCTCTTTGTCATGCATCAACGCCGTCAGTCTCGAAATGCTTCACTGCGCCCCTCTCCCAGCAAGCCTGCCGCCAAAGCCACCGCATCGCCCGCCCTCAAGGCAGCTGCATCACCAGGTCCCCCGACTGCTACAGCGGATCAAACTGCGCCAGGTTTGCCACACCCGCTTGCCGTTGTGGAGACAGAGGATTGGGTGCAGCTGCATAATGCAGAATCCACGTAGCCCGACCATAAGGCTCGGCACGCGAGGCTGCTGCCCGCATCTACGGTGCCTCACGAGCCGCTAGGATTGCTGCTGTATGCCTTTGTTTTGTTTTGTTTTGTTTAATTGAGCCTCATCACATGCACATCAAAAGAGCCACTCAAGTCAATTTGGCATCACATGCCGTCAGACTGTCTGTCTTCGGACTGATCTGAGGCGTAAAGAATTTAAAGAAGAAAGAAAGAGAATCGATACGGCACACAAGGCTACAATGTTCATGGTTTCACGGATGACCTCAGGCCGGCACCGCGTTGGGGAGCTTGCCATGTAGGTCAGCAGCTCGGGTGGAGTCTTGCTTCCGTGCCTGATTGAGGTGCGCTCGCAGAGTAGCAAAGTGTTGCTTAGCCCGAAGATGCTTTTGTTGCACCCGAGCCAAAAAGGCGGGTCCATAATTCTGCTCCACCGCGTCGAGCTTTTCATGTGCAGCAACCTCGGCTTGATCCAGCAGTACGACGTTCCTGTGACGGGAATTCCCAGCCAGCATCAATAGCAGCACAGCAGTAGCCGAGTTGTGAGTTTCAATTCCTGATTTCTGCTTCCCGTGCCGATATCGCAAGCGCAATGCTTGCCCTGCGCTAACGTACCAGGGTGATAGAGGTTTGGCCTTGTTCCAGCGAGCCAAGACAAGGCGGCGAAGGTCGCTTTCTTCTGAGAGCGCTGACTTGGACCCCCAGATGCTTTCCACCAGGTAACGGACATCCCGAGGTGTCATCAGCATGACGCAAGTTGCGTTTCCGTCCCGGCGTTGCTCCGCTACCCGGGCCGCATCCAGCATAATCCTGCCAGCGATCAGCACCACACGAGCCATGCATGCAAGACCCATGAGCTCCAAGTGACGTTGTCGAGCCACACGGCTACCAAGCATTGCGTACCGGAAAAGGCGGTTGTCCTCGCGGTGAATCGCGCGGTTATAAGCTCGTTCCTGTTCCTTAGATCGACCCAGCCCTGTTATCGACGCCAGCAGTGGCAGCGGTGGTGAAATGACCATGGTCTCAAGCTGCATGCTTCAAGAGAGGTCCTGCTGAAGCAAGCGCATGAGGTGCACAAGGGCGTACCTCGAGTGGAAGTTGTGGGAACGTCGAAGCGATTGGTTGTGAGAAAGACATCAGTGCCGGCCGCACGGGCCACATTGCCCCGGAAAAAGGACTTGTCCTGGTGCACGGGTAGCAAGCGTGCTGCCTCGGGGTTGTACTGTGGATCTTCAGCAAATTGCAAAAACAGATTCAGCAACCGCTGACGCAAGCCTATCATGGGCAAGCAACAAGTGGCCAAGGTGAGCATGCACGGAAGAAAACTCAGTGCTCATCAGCCTTCTTCGAGTCGGGTGGCCCACGAGGTGGACATACCAGTGAGGACACTGGAGGTCATGTTGCGACCTATCATATCAGCCTCGCGCTGAATGAGATCCAGGATCTCGGCGCAAAGCGAGGTGTTGTACTTTTCGACCACGGCTTTGACTTGTAAGAGGGCATCCAGACGCTCATCAAGCTCAAGTTCAGTCATTTTAAGCAGGCGATAGAGATCACGAATTTCCTTGGCACGCTTGGTGTCTGCCGTCTCCATGGCCACGGACAAGCCATACTGCGGATTTTCCCATTGCCGAGGCGTTGCAGCAGCCTCCAGAAAGCGATCAATGCGACGGGCGCGATTATCCTCATCCGCAATCAACTTGAGCTGGTCGATTGAGGCCAAGTACCTGTGAAGAAGTTGGTTGTTCAAGGCCAAGGAAGCAAACCATTCCGCAACGGTGAGGGCGCATCCCTTGACCAAACCGGGCCCGCATACACGTCCGTGGGCGCATGTGGGGTACAAGGAGTGCAGAAAAGCAGCCTCTCAAAAACATACTTGGACTGTTGCGTTAGCAAATCCATGCGAGCTTTTTGCTGAGCTTCGGCAGGGAGCGTCTGGATGCGTTCTTCCTGCTCCCTCCGCCAAGTTTCCAGGGAGCTATAGAGCATATCAAAGTCTTCCGCCGTGCGTGGATTGAGCCGGCGGAACATATCCCATTCAAAGGCTCGTTCCTCGGCATCCCGCTCGCGCTGCGCCTCCTCGATCACCCAGCGCTGATAGTTGTCGCGAGCTTCGCGTAGCTGGTGGACAAAAGTTTGCGCCTTCCAACGGCGAAAAAAGGTCTGAATAACAATCACAGCCTTGACCCGGCGCGCATGCCAGTCTTGAGCCGTTTCGTAGCCTGCGCCTTGTATGACCTTGTCGGTTTCCCGCGTCACATAGTGCCCCACTTTGCTCTGTTAGATGTCCGGCACGAAGTGTGAGCGACACAGCCATGCGCGTGAGTGATCAACGAGTTGGGTGACCAGCATAGAGCCGCGACCAAGAACGCATGGGGCGGTATCCAGCCCCTCTCCCCGGTTTGCGTACCATCTGCGTGGAAGTGTGTACAGAGGTCTGAGTGGCAAACTTTGGCTCTGAGCGCAGGATAGCTGTTTGCGTGGTGCGGTGATACAGGTCACGCTACCAACGATTTAACGGTATCAGACAGATGAGTTGGCATGGTGTCAATGGACGACTGGGGCAACACGCCACGAGCGGCACCGGGCTTACCGCGGGCGTGCGGGCGCGGCGCATTGTCTGAGTCGCGGCGTTGTGAAAGACAACGCCTGTTTTGCGATGGCGATAGCCACCCAAGAATGGCTTGCGATGTGTGGGTCCTTCCAGATGTACAATGTACGTCTTTTCAACGTCATCTTCCCCTATGAGAAAAAAACAATTCAATCATCCCGCCAATGGGCGTGAATGAGAAAGGAAGTAGGACTCGGTTGTGTCGCATCAGGGTCGACAGCGGACCTTTGACAATCACGTTCATGTGTCGGGGGCCGCTGGGTTGTGCAGCCGCTTCGGTGCCGGCTTCGGCATCTTCGTCGGCCTGAGCAGCTCGCGCTTCCGTGTCCGCATCTTGCTCATCGTAGGTTGGTTCGTCGGGCTCGGCTTTCGCATCGCCATCGGCGTCGATTTCAACATCAACAGCCTCGGCGCCCACATCAGCTTCGATGTCGCCAGAGTCCTCGGGCGCACCGATCGTGCTAACTGCATCGGAGGCTGACGGGCCAGCATTGAAGTCCCTTTCCACCTCACCCGGCTCCTCGTTGGCCAGAGGTACAGCAATCACCGCATCCACGACACCATCCTCGGGTGCCGCCATGCTGCTGGCTCCCTGTGCGCCGACTCACGAGCGCACACGAGACACACGAGACACACGGGCCACACGAGTGCAGAGGAGACCCAGACCCGAGCGGATACGAGAAAAATCGCAGTCCCAGCCTCGGCTTGGTACGTGTATACTCACACACAGACACCACCCTCTCCGTCGTCGAATCCCCACCAACCAACACCCCCTGCGCAAGCTCCCCTGTCCCTGCGCGTGTGGCCAATTCGCGCAGTTGTCGGGATCCTGCGGCGGTTGTTACGCTTGCCCTTGAAAGGAGAGAAGAAGCAGCAAGAATGGCAGAATGTGCAGAAATCGATCAGAGTAGTACTGTAACAGCGTTGAGTTTCACCGGCAGTTGATGCGTTGAAAATAGAAGAAACTGTTGGTCATCGTGTTTTCTTTTTCTTTCTCTTTCTCGTTGCCAAGTAAGTCACAAACTCTTGAGAAACACTTGTTGTGAACAACAATTGTACTCGACCTCCTTGTGCACTCGTTCCGTCCGTGTGAAGGAGCACGTCGAGCTGTTGCAAACTGTTGTTGACGTCCATTTCCTTCGCAACGCTTCAAATTCAGGTCTCTCTCTCTCGCTCTCTCTCTCGCTCGTGTCTCGCGCGCTATCGATCCGTGTGTGTGTGTGTGTGTGTGTGTGTGTGCTCGGCCGGCTGGCTGAACGGCCGGTTGGCAGTCTTGGTTGCTGCGAGGTGCCCGGCTCAGGGTGTGGTGTGTTTGGGATGCTGGATGGGGTGTGTCGCAACCTGACAGCGTCAGCATCTTCACGTCCAAGTTGTTGTGCATGTGTGTTCCTTGACGTTGCGTACAGGACAAAGCTCACGGTCACCTTGTGCTTGCTTGGTCTGCTCATCGACACAGCCCCGATATTGCGTGGCAGCACCTGCGATTTGCCTTAGGGCCTTGCCGCGATCGGCTGGCCACCCTGCCTGGCAGGCAGCCTTGGAGACACTTTTGATGCCCTTTGAAGCATCTCCTCGTGACTCGGGCACAAGCCAGTTGAAAACGGAATCGCGCCCGCCTCGCCGGCGTTATCGGCGCGGCTGGTCCCGATTCGACCTCTTGGCTCTGTCCGGCAACCTCATTTAATAACCAGCGTCATGTCTGACACCGGCGCTTCGACCAATGGGCGCCCAACCTCGGTATGCGTACGATACATCGGCCGTGCTGCTTGTTTCGTGGGGACCTGGGCCACCAAGCTGACAGTGTGCGCTCAAGCTGAGAGTGTGCGCTTTTCTCAAGCAACAGCTCATGCCGTCTGTGATCTGATTGTCTTAGGCCACCAATCCATTTCCAGTGTTGCCCCCGATTCCCTCTACAGAGCAACTGCACATGTCCGCAGCACGCAGGTGTGCATCAGCATTGCCTCTGTATATCCACGAGTCGATGTGTCCGTGACATTGACCACTGAATTTTGCTTGCTCCCCTGGAATGTTGACCTTGGTGATAGGCGCACCGTGAATGAGAGAACGGGGCGCAATGCAGACGATGAAACCCTTGCTCAGGCGGTTAACTGGCGTGCTACTACTGTCACTCGCGACAAGCTCTCGTCCCTAGTGTACGCTTTGCCCCCGCCTTTGTATTTGTTCTACTCTCCCTCCTCTCTTCTCAGAGATGGGCTCATCCGCTTTTCCTATTCTCGTACGATTCCCTTGTGTGCGTTGTTTCTTTGTTTTGTGGCTGTCCATCACATTTTTTGTAGCCAACAAAACCGACTTGCATCCGAGAGCATTGTTCAGCAGCATATCAAAACCCGGGCTCCACCGCCCCCACCTGCCCAGCTACCTGAAGCTCTCATGTCTGAGCAGTATCGCGAGGAGGTAGGCTTTTTTTTTTTTTTTTTTCTTTTTTCGACCCACCCCCTTGATTGGATTCATCTGAGCTCAATAACTACCCTTGCTCTTGTGCCGGGTTCAGCTCAACCAGCGGCGGCTGCAAGAAACAGCCGCCAAAAGCAAAATCGTGCCTCTTAGCGATGAAGCCTGGACACGCATTTGCGCTCTCGTACCAGAACAATGGCAAGACCGGGATCAAATCCCTCCAGACGAGCGCACCCCTGTTGACAAGGGCCTTGTGCGGCAGTATCAGGCCATCTCCGATGAGATTCGACTAGGCTACGAGGATGTCCTGCGCCAACTGACTGTGGCGCAGGTGCTCGTATCAGCTGCAGATAGCATTCAGCATACCCCTCTCCCCGAGGGTCTTGACTTCAGCAGCACTTGGCGGGATGCTTTTGAGCAACATCGTCTTGACCTGGGGGCCAACCTGTTTTTGACTCATCCAGTTCTGCGCACCGTGGCAGCCAAGACACAGGCACAAGCTGATACTCCCCTGGCAAACATCGAGGCTCTGATCCTGCGCCAGCAGCAGGAAAACATGCTCTATACCCCTGCCGGGTTTGCGCGTGAAATTGGTGTGGAAGTGGCTGCGACCACCGAGCTTCTCAACAATACTTGGTATGTCGACATTGCCGATACCATCTCCACCTACCTCCAGAGCCCCGAAGCTGCTGCTGCAGCTGCCGCCACTTCTACGAATGGTCGCCGTTCTTCGGGGTCAGCCAGCTCGGAGGCAAATACCATGCTGCTTGATCAAGCTCGGGCTTTTGTCATGACTGAAACCTTGCTGAGCCGACAACTGGGTCAACTCGTGCATGAGACACTGACTGCCATTACAGACCGGCTCGGCGACGATGCCGGTGCCCACCACCCCGTCTTTTCAGTGGCTCTGGTCCTGGTGGATCAAAAACTTGAGCTGCAGCCCTCCTGTGATTCCATGATTGAACAGATGCAGAGCCTTGTAGATCAAGTCTTGAACAACACTCGAGTGTTTGCCACCCTGCAAGCTTGGATGACCGGCGGCACGAAGACTCTTACCGTATGTTGCACTGGGCAAACGTTCTCGAGTTTTTCTTCTGCCAGTTCCCCTTCTCACTTTTCCGTTGTCGTTCTTCATGGTGACTTCCACTCTGCGCGAATTCATAGGTGGCAGTTGACCCAGCCAAGCTGGCTTCGACGAGAGCAGCCATTGCCAAGGCCACACAGGCGCTTTACAAGCGCCTGGCGGTCATTCAGGCTGAGTGCAACCAAGCCTTCCGAGGCGTGCTGCCTGGTGGGGAAGTCCATCAAGAATTGGACGAATTCTTGGACGAGGGCGAGATTGACCTCCGAGATTATCAAACTCGTCTCCAAGAACTGCAGGCCATCCGTCGACAAATCACTGCCATTGACAACACACGCATCACCCACCTGGCTCATTTGGACATGGTGCGCCTGCGCCAGCAGCTTCTGCAGGTGGTTGATGGCGCCATCCAACGTCTTTTGACCAGGCTCAAGAGCCACCACGCTGCTGAGAATACACGCATTTGCAAAGAGTTTGAGCTCATTCGCAAGCGCGCTTTGACCGAGCCAGAGGACTCCAAGGAAATGTTTGCACTCATGTCTTACATGGACAAGGTAAGAAGCGCCGGGCCCTCACGATTTATCTTATTGTGCTCGCTGCTTTCCTGGCCCAGCTGAGCCTCACCTCCTGGTGCCAATGCTCACAATTGGTTTGTCTGTGCTGCAATTTTTCCTACAGGTGCGCGCCCACGACTTGGAACAGTTGAAGCGTGATATCGGCGTTCGCCAGCAAACCATGGAATTTTTGCTGGAAACCTGCGAGGTGTCGTCGCAAGACATGGACCTCAACACGTTGGCGGTCATGTGGCCCACCAACATTCTTCCCGTCTTCGACGACAACGCCGTCTTGTTGGACGGTGTCAAGCAGCGTAGCGAGCAGCTCTTGGTTGGCAAGCGCGAGAAACTCCTGTTGGAGCTGGAGAAGGTTCGCCTTCAAATTGACGAGTTCAAGGAGGCTGCGGACTTGAGTGCTGCAGTGCACTACCTCAAGGACTCGAAGAACATTTTGAAGCGTTTGGCTGACATGAACAGTCAGGTGGCCTTTATCAACAAGGAGGAAGCCCTGTTTGAATGGGACCAGACTTCATACCCGGCCATCGAAAAGCTCAGCAATGAGTGCCAGCCCTTCCTGGTTCTCTTCCAAGGCATTGTTGACTGGCAAAAGTCGCTGCGTCGCTGGATGGAAGGGCCTTTCGGTGATCTAGATCCCGATAAGGTGTTGGCAGAGGTGGATGAAGTGTATCGCGAATTCTATAAGAAGGCCAAGGGCTACGCCAAGGATAGCAACATGTATGCCATGTGCGAAAAAATCAAGGGTGAGGTGCAGGACTTTCGCGCACACTCCCAGCTCATCCAGGTTCTCTGCAATTTGGGCCTCCGCGAGCGCCACTGGAAGGCCATGTCCGACCTTGTTGGCGCCAACATCGCGCCAGATGCCAGCACCACGTTGCAAGCCATGATCAACCTTAATCTGACCGAGCATCTTGCTGAACTTGAGGTCGTGTCTTCGGGTGCCTCAAAAGAGTTTTCTCTGGAAAAGGCCATGGACAAAATGGAAAACGAGTGGCAACCGATGGAGTTCAACGTTGTGCCTTATCGCGACAGCGGCATGAACATCCTCTCCTCCGTTGATGAGATTCAGACACTGCTTGATGATCACCTCGTCAAGACCCAAACCATGCGAGGCTCCCCCTTTATCAAGCCCTTTCAAGAGCGCATTGTGGCTTGGGAGCGCCTGCTCGTGGCTTCTCAGGACATCATCGACGGCTGGCTCAAGATGCAAGCAACCTGGCTCTACCTGGAGCCAATCTTCTCGTCACCCGACATTATGGCTCAAATGCCAACGGAGGGCGATCTTTTTGTCCAGGTTGATCGTCAGTTTAAGAGCACCATGACGCACTGCGCTGCCAACCCTGCTGTCCTGGTTGCTTGTAGCCTGGAAGGCCTGCTTGAGCGTATCTCCCATGCCAACGAGCAGCTGGAAATTATCCTCAAGGGCCTCAATGACTACCTCGAGAAGAAGCGTCTCTACTTTGCGCGCTTCTTCTTCCTCTCCAACGATGAGATGCTTGAGATTCTGTCCGAGACCAAGGACCCAACGCGCGTTCAGCCTCACCTCAAAAAGTGTTTCGAAGGTTTGTCGACGCCTCGACGTTGGGTGCCCTCGTGTTCAGGGGCAGCTTTGTGGTTTTTACTTCTTCTGATGGCACTATGTTCCGGTTTTTTTTTCTCTTTTATTTTTCTTTTATTTTGGTGTGTGTGTGTGCGTGTGTGTGTTGACCGCCCGTCATCTTCTGAACCCCATACTTCGTGTTTGTGCATTAGGTATCAACAAACTTGTCTTTACCGAGGCAGAACAAGACATTACGACCATGATATCTTCTGAGGGTGAGCAGGTTGAGCTCTCGGGTATCATTTCCACAGCGGCGGCTCGCGGCCAGGTTGAAAAATGGCTGTTGGAACTGGAGGGTTTGATGCGCATGTCGGTGCGCGATCAAATTGTCAAAGCTCTCGAGGCATATGCCAACACCCAACGCGTCCAGTGGGTGCAGCAATGGCCTGGGCAGGTTGTCATTTGTGTCGGCCAGACGTACTGGACAAGCGGCGTGCACAAGGCCCTTCGAGATGGCCAGGGTGCACTCGTCGCCTATTGCGATCAGCTCGAATCTGAGTTGCAAGATATTGTGGCCTTGGTGCGCGGCAAGCTGCCTAAGCAAGTCCGCAAAACCCTGAGCGCACTTGTGACTTTGGATGTGCACGCACGTGACGTGACTATGGAGCTTCGCGATAACAAGGTTGCCTCCGATGCCGACTTCCAGTGGTTGTGCCAACTGCGCTATTACTGGGAGAATGAAAACATGTATGTGCGCATGATCAACTCGACCTGCGACTACGGCTACGAATACCTCGGAAACAGCCTTCGCCTCGTGGTCACGCCCCTTACAGATCGGTTAGTAACCTACCTTGTATACCTTTGTGTATGTATGTATGTGTGTATGTGTGTGTGTGTGTGTGTGTGTGTGTGTGTGTGTGTGTGTGTGTGTGTGTGTGTGTGTGTGTGTGTGTGTGTGTGTGTGCTGGGTTATGCCGGGTCGCTGTGTCGTCTGGCAGACAGCGACCGTTCTCATTTTTTGCCTTGTTTGTTTTTTTTCCGGGGAATTTGCTATAGGTGCTATCGAACTCTGATTGGCGCCTACTACCTGCATCTTGGCGGCGCTCCCGAGGGCCCAGCTGGTACGGGCAAAACGGAAACGGTCAAGGACTTGGCCAAGGCATTGGCCATCCAATGTGTGGTTTTCAACTGCTCCGATGGTGAGTCACAGTCTCTTTCTGCTTGACCCGTCGAAATGAGATTCACACCGGGGCTTGCTGACCATGTGCCGTGCGCGCCACGACGATTTAGGTCTCGACTACAAGGCCATGGGCAAATTCTTCAAGGGTTTAGCCTCAGCCGGTGCCTGGGCTTGTTTTGATGAGTTTAACCGCATTGACCTTGAGGTGCTCAGTGTGGTCGCACAACAGATTCAGTCCATTCAACGGGCCGTTGAGGTCGGTCTCAAGCGATTCGCTTTTGAGGGCACCGAACTCGACCTCAACGCCAAGTGCAACAGCTACATTACCATGAACCCCGGCTATGCCGGGCGCTCGGAGCTTCCCGACAACCTCAAGGTGCTCTTCCGAACTGTGGCCATGATGGTGCCGGATTACGCCATGATTGCTGAGATTATGCTGTACTCGTTCGGGTTTGTAAACGCCCGACCCATGTCCATTAAGATTACCACGACCTACAAGCTCTGCTCTGAACAGCTTTCGTCGCAGTTCCACTATGACTACGGCATGCGTGCTGTCAAGGCCGTGCTCTCGGCCGCCGGTAACCTCAAGCTGCAGTTCCCTGACGAGGATGAGGGCGTCCTCATTCTTCGTGCTATTGTTGACGTCAACTTGCCCAAGTTCTTGAGCCACGACGTGCCGCTGTTTCACGGCATCATTTCCGATCTATTTCCCGGCATTGAGCTGCCCAAGACAGACTATGATGAGCTCTTTGGTGCAGCTCGCGAAGCTTGCGTTGAGTTTAACCTCCAGGCCACTGACCTGTTTTTGGAAAAGCTTGCGCAGATGTACGAGATGATGATCGTGCGCCATGGCTTTATGCTGGTGGGCGAACCGTTCGCGGCCAAAACGGCCGTTCTGAAAGTGTTGGCTGCGGCTTTAACCCGCATCGCCGCTGCTCACGAGGGCGAAGAGGTGGACGGGGAGATCGCACACCGCGGCGTGTATTATCGCATCATCAATCCCAAGTCCATTACCATGGGCCAACTCTACGGCTGCTTTGATCCAGTCTCACACGAGTGGTCTGATGGCGTTTTGGCCACTACATTCCGTCAACTGGCCAGTGACACGAGTCCGGAGCGCAAGTGGGTCGTTTTTGATGGGCCCATTGATGCCATTTGGATTGAGAACATGAACACTGTGCTGGATGACAACAAGAAGCTCTGCCTGATGTCGGGCGAAATCATCGCCCTCTCTGACACAATGTCTCTCATCTTTGAGACAATGGATTTGTCGCAGGCCTCACCGGCCACCGTCTCGCGCTGTGGCATGATCTACCTCGAGCCCTCACAGCTCGGCTGGCGGCCACATACTGACTCCTGGCTCCAGGCTCGGCCCGACTTTGTGCAGCAGCCCCTCAAGGATGTTCTTCAGCAGCTCTTTGACGCCTTTGTCCCGGTCGGCCTTGAGTTTGTGCGCAAGCACCTCAAGCAATACGTCGTGGTGGAGGAGATGATGATGGTGCATGCTCTCTTGCGTCTTTTGGAGAGCAGCATGGCCGAGCCCTTTGCCGAAGAGAAGAATGCAAAGATTTTGGAACAGTGGACCAAGGGTCTCTTTGTCTGGTGCTTTGTCTGGTCCTTTGGCGCATCCACGGACACTGACGGCCGCGTCAAGTTTGACGAGTTTGTCCGCAGCCTCGTCGCTGGCACGCATCCTGAACTCGAGAACAGCAATATCAAGTTTGACTCACCCGTTCCAGACGAGGCCACCGTGTATGATTACCTTTTTGAGGCCAAGGGCAAGGGCAAGTGGATCCGCTGGATGCATACCATTGATCCGGAACTGCATTTGCGCCCGGGCCAAAAGCTGAAGGATGCCATTGTGCCGACCACGGACACGGCTCGCTACACGTACATTATGGATCTGTGCGTGCGTAACCGCGTGCCCTTGCTCTTTGTGGGCCCCACGGGCACAGGCAAGTCCGTGTACGTTAAGGACAAGCTCATGAACGGCTTGGAGGATACCTACCAGCCTCTCTTCATCACCTACTCGGCACAGACCACGGCCAACCAAACACAGGATTTGGTCTTGGCCAAGCTTGACAAACGCCGCAAAGGCATTTATGGGCCACGCATGGGCCAGCAGTGTGTTGTCTTTGTCGACGATCTCAACATGCCGGCCCTTGAGAAATATGGAGCTCAACCGCCCATTGAGCTGTTGCGGCAGTTCCTAGACCACGGCTTCTGGTATGATCTTGGGACACCTCGCGCATGGATCTGGTGGACGTTCTTTTTGTAGCTGCCATGGGTCCGCCAGGCGGTGGTCGCAACCCCGTCACCACGCGCATGCTGCGCCACGTCAACACCGTGGGCATTACCGAGTTTGACGACGATACCATGACCCGCATTTTTAGCACGATTGTTTCGCGGGCCTTTAAGGAGAGCAAATTCTCAATGGAGCTGCAGGGCTTGAGCAATAACGTTGTGACTGCCACGATGCACGTCTACAAGAGTGCCATTCAAAGCCTGCTACCAACACCGGCCAAGTCGCACTACACCTTCAACCTGCGTGACTTCTCACGCGTTGTCAATGGCGTCCTCCTCATGGATGGCCACCGCGCTGGAGACAAAAACAAACTCTGCCGCCTCTGGTGTCATGAGGTGTATCGTGTCTTTGGTGATCGCCTCGTCTTTGAGGAGGATCACGACTGGCTTTTTGGCCTTTTGCAAGAAACTGTCAAGTCCCATTTTAAGCTGGGCTTTGATGCTGTCTTCTCCAACCTTCCGGATAGCGGCGACAAGACCACGGTAGACCGTCAAGCCTTTGGCTCTCTTATTTTCTGTGACCTCATGGAGGTGGAATCTTCGCCACGCCCTTACGACGAAGTCTCCAGTCTTGAAGCCCTCAAGGATATCGTTCGCAGCAGTTTGGATGAGTACAACCAAGTCAACAAGTCGCCAATGGACTTGGTCATTTTCCGCTACGTTCTTGAGCACCTCAGCCGCATTTCTCGCGTTCTCAAGCAGGATGGCGGCCACGCCTTACTTGTGGGCGTCGGCGGCTCAGGACGGCAGTCCACCACGCGCCTCGCTGCGCACATGGCTGACTACACGCTCGTGCAGCCGGAAATCAGCAAGCAATACGGCAACGAGGAATGGGCGGAAGACGTGAAGCGCGTTATGAAGAAGGCCGGCATGGAGGGACGGCCGACTGTCTTCTTGCTCACCGACTCGCAGCTCAAGTCAAACAAGATGCTTGAGGACATTGACTCGCTGCTGAACTCGGGCGAGGTAGCCAATATTTTCGCTCCTGACGAAAAGGGAGAGATCTGCGAGGGTGTGCGCAGTGCCGCGCAAGCGGTCAATCCGGGTGTGGATCTCACACCCATGCAGCTCTACAGTTTCTTTATTAGCCAGTGTCGTGATAACCTGCACGTCATTTTGGCCTTTAGCCCCATTGGCAGCACCTTCCGCGATCGCTTACGCATGTTCCCTTCGCTCGTCAACTGCTGCACGATCGATTGGTTTCAAGCCTGGCCCTCGGAAGCCCTGGAAATGGTGGCTTCCTCCTTTGTGGCCGATATCGAGATGGCCGATGCGGAGCGTCGCGCCGTGATTGCCATGTGCCAAGCTTTTGACATTAGCTCGCGCGAGCTGAGCCGTCGCTTCACAGCGGAGCAGAACCGGCACACGTACGTGACTCCCACTTCCTTTCTCGAATCGGTCAAGGCCTTCAAGTCGCTGTTACAAATCAAGCGTGACGAAGTCATGCGGGCCAAGAACCAGTATACCACCGGGTTGGACAAGCTTGAGTTTGCTGCTTCTCAGGTGGCCACGATGCAGCAGGAGCTCGAAGAGCTGCAGCCCAAGCTGGCGGCAGCTCAAGTTGAGAACGAGGCCATGACGGTGCAGATCAACAAGGAGTCGGAGGAGGCGGCCAAGATTGAGGCCAACGTCAAGGCAGACGAGGCCGTGGTCAGCGAGAAGGCGGCCGTGGCTCAGGCCGAGAAGGCCGAGTGTGAGGCATTGCTAGCAGATGCCGTCCCCGCACTGAATGCTGCCCTGTCAGCTTTGAACACGCTGAAAAAGTCAGACGTCGACGTGGTCAAAACGATGAAGTCGCCGCCGGCGGGCGTGAAGCTTGTAATGGAGGCTGTGTGCGTGATGAAGGACGTCAAGCCCGAGAAGGTCAATGACCCAGCAGGCGGAACAAAGAAGGTGCTCGACTACTGGGGTCCAGCCAAAAAGCTGTTAAGCGACATGAAGTTTTTGGACTCACTCCGCGAGTACGACAAGGACAACATTCCCCCGCACATCATGCAGGAGATTCGGGACAAGTACATTCCGGATGAGGGCTTTGTGCCCGAAAAGGTTGCCAAGGCTTCGCAAGCTGCCGAGGGCTTGTGTAAGTGGGTGCGAGCCATGGAAATCTATGATCGCGTGGCCAAGGTGGTGGCGCCCAAGCGCCTGGCTCTGGTTGAGAAGGAGACCGAGGTCAATGGCCTCATGGCCGAGCTCAAGGCCAAGCAGGACGAGCTCAAGGCCGTCCAGGACCGCGTGGCGCAACTCAATGCGGCGTTGGATGAGAAACTTCGAGAAAAAGCGGATCTGGAGGCAAAGGTTGAGCTTTGTGCTCAAAAGCTGGGACGAGCACAAAAGTTGATTGGTGGCCTGGGTGGCGAGAAGAAGCGTTGGAGCGAAGCGGCTGCCAACCTACAGGTGGCCTTTGACAATTTGACAGGCGACATTCTTGTGGCAGGCGCTGTGATGGCCTACCTTGGGCCGTACACTTCGGTGTATCGCCAGAGCACCATTGCTGACTGGGTGGCACAGTGCCGCGCCGCCAATCTGCCCTGCTCGGCCGACTTTAGTCTACGCAGCATCCTTGGCGATGCCGTCAAGATCCGTGCATGGAACATCGACGGGCTACCCACCGACGGCTTTTCCGTGGACAACGGCGTGATGTTGCACAACTCGCGTCGCTGGCCTCTGATGATCGATCCGCAGGGTCAGGCCAACAAGTGGATCAAGAAGATGGAGGCAAGCAACCAACTAAAGGTTATCAAGCTGTCCGACCCCAACTTTATGCGTGATCTGGAGACGGGCATTCAATTTGGCACCCCCGTGCTACTCGAGAACATTGGCGAGGAACTCGACCCCGCACTCGAGCCCCTCTTGCTCCGCTCCACCTTCAAACAGGGGGGTGTCATGTGCATGAAGCTTGGCGAGAACGTGTTGGAATACAGCGACGATTTCCGCTTCTACATCACGACCAAGTTGCCAAACCCCCACTACATGCCCGAAACGGCTACCAAGGTCACGCTCATCAATTTCATGATCACGCCCGAGGGCTTGGAGGATCAACTCCTCGGGATTGTGGTGCGCAAGGAGCAGCCCGAGCTCGAAGCTGAGCGACAGCAGCTTATCATCCAAAGTGCAGAGAACAAACGTCAACTCAAGGATATTGAGAAGCGCATTCTGGACACGCTGTCCAACTCTCAGGGCAACATCCTCGAGGATGAAGGCGCCATCAAGGTGCTGGATGACGCCAAGATCGTGTCCGACGACATCCAGGCTAAGCAGAAGGTGGCCGAGGCTACCGAGGCCAAGATCAACGAAAATCGCAAGGGCTATAAACCCGTGGCCGCTCACTCGGCTGTCCTTTTCTTCGTGATTGCTGACATGGCCAACATTGATCCCATGTATCAGTACTCTTTGACTTGGTTTGTCAACCTCTTTATTGCCTCCATCGACAGCTCGACGAAGAGCAAGCAGGTATGTTTATTCCAATGGGGCTTAAAACGAGTCAGCGATTTCAGTGCTTCGTTTGTCCTTGCTCTTCCTTTTATTTTATTCCGCTTTCCTCCTCCCCATTCCCCTTTCATGTGCATGTGCATTTCACTTGACGTGCATACGTCATCACCCTCTGACGCTGATTGCCTTGTCTCATGCTGCCGTAGTTGGACAAGCGCCTTCGATACTTGACAGATCATTTCACGTATTCCATCTACTGCAACGTTTGCCGTTCGCTCTTTGAAAAGGACAAGCTTCTCTTTGCGTTTTTGCTCTGCTGCGCTTTGTTGAAGTCACGGTATGAAAACGATCTTGCTTTTTCGCACCCGCTTGATGCCACTGATCTGATACATGTCCCCTCATCCCCCGCCCCCCTTTTTTTTCTTTTTTCTTGAATGCGCCATGGCGCCATGTGTGGTGTTGATGCCGTGTTCCACATGAGCAGCAATCAGCTGGATCAGAGCGAGTTGATGTTCTTCCTGACGGGTGGTGTTGGTCTGGATAACACACGCAAGAACCCTGATGAGAGTTGGATCTCGCAGAAAATGTGGGACGAGCTGTGTCGCATGGGTGATCTTCCCAGTTATCAGGAAGTCAAATTCCTCGAGGTACGGCTCTTTTGGTACTGCTTTTGTCAAAGATCTTGATTATGGGAGCGCGTGTGGGCAAAGGCGAGGCCCATGCGCTAACGTGCGGCCACGTGGCTTTTGACTTTGCATGTTTGTTTGGGCATAGAAATTCGAGGCCGACCCGCGCAAGTGGAAGTACATTTACGATAGCAAAACACCCTACAACGAGGAGCTTCCTGACTCCTGGCAGGGATCGCTGACGGACTTTCAGCGCATGACCTTGTTGCGTGTGATGCGCCCCGATAAGGCGGTACCACTGTGCCGCTTGTTCGTACAGTCCAAGCTCGGGCAGCGTTTTACGGAACCTCCGCCTTTCAACTTGCAAGAAAGTTACAACGACTCTGTGGCTACTGCCCCCCTGATTTTCGTGCTGAGCCCGGGCGCTGACCCAATGGCGCAGCTATTGAAGTTTGCAGACACGGTGGGCTTTGGCGGGGACAAGTTCAACGCCATCTCGTTGGGTCAGGGGCAAGGTCCTTTTGCTGAGCGCATGATTGCCAAAGCCATGGCCGAGGGGTCGTGGGTGGCATTGCAAAATTGCCACTTGGCCGTCTCATGGATGCCTGCTCTTGAGCGCATCTGCGAAGAAATGGACCCAGCCAAGGTACGCACAGCCATTCAGTTGTTTAGCTCTGCCCTGCGAGTCAAGGCGACAGAGCGGTCTGGCTATCATCTTGTCCTGAGTGTCACAGCGTGTTTCACCCTCTCACAATCCACTCGGTGGTCTTGGCTGAAACAATACAATGTATAGGTCCACAAAGAGTTTCGGTTGTGGCTGACGTCGTATCCGTCCGACAAGTTTCCTGTTTCAGTCCTGCAAAACGGTGTCAAGATGACCAATGAGCCGCCAACAGGCCTGCGCATGAATATGTTGCAGTCTTACTTGACGGATCCCATCTCAGATCCGAGCTTTTTCAACAAACTCGAGGACAATCCGGCCAAGCATGAGGCTTTCCAAAAACTGCTTTTTGGCTTGTGCTTTTTCCATGCTAACGTGCAAGAGCGACGCAAATTTGGTCCGCTGGGCTGGAACATTCCTTACGGCTTCAATGAGAGCGACCTGCGCATTAGCGTGCGCCAGTTGAACGTGAGCTGCGCTCGTTGTTCTTCCTATAACACAATCTCTTGAAACCTGCCTCGGTCGCATCAACTTTGTCAGCCAACTCACAGTCTGCACCGAATCTGCCGGCCATAGATTTTCTTGGAGGAGTACGATGACCTGCCGTTGGATGCACTGCAATACTTGACGGGCCAGTGCAACTATGGTGGCCGTGTGACTGACGATTGGGATCGGTGGGTTTTCTTGCTGGCTTTGCTGACTTGTTGAAGTCGCATGAGGTCCCGTCAGGGCATGTGGCGGCGGGGCGGGTAGATGGTGCAGCCAATTTGCAGTTTTGAAGAGCTTACCTGACACCTGTTGACTGGTTCGTGCTCTGTGCAATTAGACGCTGCTTGGTCTCGATTCTCAAAAATACTTTTTGCCGAGACGCGTGTGTCCAGACCAAGTATGCGTTGTCACCGAGCGGAGTCTATCACGTACCAGCACCCGAGGGCTACGATCACTACGTCGAGTTTATCAAGGAGTTGCCGGTGGAGCAGCCCCCAGAAGCCTTTGGCATGCATGACAATGTTGACATTTCCAAGGACTTGCAAGAAACGCGCCTGCTTTTTGACTCGTGCCTTGCGACCATGGGTAAGTCTGGCGTTTCTTTTTGAGGTTGTGAAGTTTGCCTTTTGTAGGGATAGGGACGTTCTCAGGTCACCTGAGACCTGACTTGGCTGTATGATCCCATCAACCTAGGCACTAGCGGCGGTGGCGGCGGCGAGGGTCATCGGGTGGAAGAGTTGATGGATGAGATTGCAGAAGGCATCTTGGCCAAGGTAAGCGGTTGGCGCAGTGCTGTCCTGATTCATTTCTTCTATTTCACTATTCTCTCGAACGACTTACATTGCATGGCTACCGTAGTTGCCGAGCCTCTTCGATCTGGAAGCTGCATTGGCCAAGTTTCCAACACGCTACGACGAGTCGATGAACACGGTGCTTGTTCAGGAGATGCAACGTTTCAATCGCTTGCTGCAAGTAATTGTCACGTCTCTTCGCGATTTGCGCAAAGCCATTAAAGGTTTGTGTGTGTGTGTGTGGCAGCGAGCGCGGGGCGTGGATATCTCTCTGACCTTGGATTAGCACGGACAAGGACGAGCGTGTGCTCACACATGAACGGTCGTGCATGGGTTCTTGCAGGTTTGGTGCTCATGTCGCCGGCCTTGGAGGAGGTCGGGCGTAGCTTGACCATTGGCAAGGTGCCCGGCATGTGGATGGCCAAATCCTACCCGAGTTTGAAGCCATTGGGCAGCTACGTCTCGGACTTTTTGCAACGGCTTCAATTTTTGCAGACGTGGTACGAGCAAGGCAAGCCGGACGTGTTCTGGGTGAGCGGGTTTTATTTCACACAGGTACGATTCGGCGATGCGATTGTGCCTTTGGTCTGTTGGTGCCCTGTGTTGAGCGTGATGTCATGGACACGCCGTGCTTGGGGTAGGCATTCTTGACGGGTGCGCTGCAAAACTATGCGCGCAAGTACAAGATTCCCATCGACATCTTGGGCTTTGGTTTTGAGGTTTTGCGGGACGAGGACCCACGCACCGCGCCGGCAGATGGCGTGCTGATTGACGGCCTGTTTTTGGATGGTGCACGGTACGCATCTCTGTACTTTGCTTTCTGTGCCTGGTCCAGTGTTTGGCGCGCTTGCGCCGGCCACACATGGGGTATGGAGGGACTCTCATGGTATGCGGTCGGGTTTGTTTGATTTTTACAGCTGGGTCAAGTCTAAGCATGTGCTCGGTGAATCCATGCCCAAGGTGCTCTTTGATGTGATGCCTGCCATCTGGCTCAAGCCGGGCAAGAAGGAAGAGTTGCCTGATGTGCCAAGCTATCTTTGCCCAGTGTATAAGACAAGCGAGCGCCGTGGAACTCTGTCGACGACAGGCCACTCAACCAACTACGTTTTGCCAATCAGAGTGCCGTCAGATATGCCTTCGGATCATTGGGTTCGCCGAGGCGTGGCGTTGCTGTGCCAACTGGACGATTAAGCGCGCTCGCTTTTGGCCCATCGTTGGTTGGGCTTTCTTTCTGGCGATGTGGTCTCGTGGTGGCGCAGAGCTGACAGCGTGACCGCGTCATGTCTGGTTTGCTCTGGTCGGTTAAGCTGTGTGTGTGTGTGTGTGTGTGTGTGTGGTGCTGTAGCTGATCTATTGCCTGAGAAGTGTGCTGAAGATTCAGGGCCTGTGTGATGGTGTTGCGTGATCATTTAGTAGTGGATAAGCGAAACGGTGTTTGTTGTTTGTCTCGCTGTCAGAAAAGGCCCTTGAACGTGATGCGCTGTGATGCGTGCGAACTAGTCCTTCTCCTCATTAATTTCTTCTTGCGTATCGAGCTGGCGCTCATGCCGCCAGTTCTCAATTGATCCGAGAACCATCACTCTGAGATTGCAGCTGTGCCTGACTAGCTGTAAAGGAAGAGACGAAGAGAAAACAGATAATGTGAGCGTGCTCGTTGGGTCTTCCAACCTGCCAGGCAGAGGCATCGACAGGGGGGCAGCAGCCACAGCAGAAAGCACCCGTCGTCACATATCTGAGTCCTTCCACAAAATTCCTCTTGGTTGTATGAGGCATACTTGCTCCACGTCATTGGCACCATGACACGCGCCCCACATATCCCCAGCACCAAAGATGTGACTTCTGCACACGAGGCGCATTTTTCTTTCACACAAAAGTAAAGGTGTGTCGTTTGTTACGCTTCTATGTGGTCAAGGCGAGCAAGCAGCAGTGGGGAGAAGGGGTGGGCCTGGTGCAAAAATGACGCGGTGCACCCCTCTTTTTTTTTTTTGAAAAAAAATAAATGAACAATTGGAATTGCTGCTATGTTCGGAGCTATTCCTCGCTATTCTTGTATTTGGCGATGGCTGTGCATCTGAAGCAAAACCGATTGACCAAATCCGGTACATAGACAGCTGCCAATGGAGGTAAAGCGCAGAGACCACGGGGCAGGGACTGACCCAGAGACAGAGACTGCCACAATGGAGCAACAGGAATTCAATTTTCTTCTGCCAGTCATATGTGAAGGCACCTGCAGCAACAGCAAGTTGGGTGCGCTTCACTTTGGCGCCGAGATGGAGATTTCGCTACCACGCTTTGACCAGACCAATGCCATACTCGCGCTGACGTCAGTGTATCGTCTGCACCCTACGCACCAAACTCGCAGCTGTTTCTAAGGAAAAAAGCAGCACTGTCGTGACGTCGCTATCGATTATGTGTGCTGTTGTGTGGCGGTCGCTGCCGTTTTGTCTTTGTGGGCCACGTGTTGGACACTTCATGTCGGAACAAGCACACAGTGGTGTTGGGTTGTTTGGCTCACATTTGCAGGACAGAACGGGAAACCAGCTCCGCAAACCCCCGCCCAACTCGACAGCAACTCGATAGCTGGCGTACAACAGTTCTTCAAAAACAAGTCGTTTCGACTGCAAGAATACACCGTACCCGTCCGTACCCATCTCAGGGGGTATCGTATGCATACGTATGCAGTGTGTATGGTAGACCAATATCCGTCATCTGCACATCTGTATGGGGCCTAAGCAATGGCTATGGGTTGAATTTCACACGCATGCAGATTGTAATGGATGTAGATAGTACGCTGTAGATGATGGATGGTACGCATGGTCATGGTCATAGGCGTTGCGATCGTGTGTGTGTGTGTGGTGTGTGTGTGGCTGGCTGACTCTGAGCTTTCTTGGAAAAAACGGCAGAGGCATGGGCAGATGGATCGTCGTGCGAATCGTGTTGATCCCCGATCAGGGCGTTGGTTGTTGATCTCAGGACAAGCGCGCGTCGGCTGCGTTCAACCGATGCTCTGCAAAACCACGCCTCAAACGCATTGAATCAGTGCACACCAACTTGGATTGCCTCAATCTAACTCGCACACCTCTCCCCGACAGTCCTCTTTCCAAAGGGTCCTCAATTTCCTTTTGCAACTCCCCTTTTGTACTGTGCCGTTCAACGCCGCTCCTTCCCCCACAAGCGCTGCCTCGGGGTGCAATTGGGGCATGCTTGGCCCCTGCCCGGAAGGATCACCTCTTTGCTCCTCGGTTTCTGGACGGGACTTCATTCTCGTTTGTTTTTCAGCAAATCACTTCCTGCTGCCGTGCTTTCCGAGCTCTCTTCCCCCCCCCCCCCACCCCCCCCAAC